GAGAAAATAAATATACTTGTTTGACAGAGGGAGCATGGTATAAAGTGCATTAGATTTGAAGTCAGATTAGCTAGGAGTGGTTGTCTTTTTTTTTTAAATCCTAGCTTTTCTTGTTTATTACATATGTGACCTTGGTCAAGTTACTTAACCTTTTGGATCAGTTTTGTATAAAATGAGGGAGTTTGACTATGAATGATCTCTTAAGACTTTTCTTAGAGATCTGAGAGAGCTAGGGGCAGCACAGTGAATAGAGAGTGCCAGGTCTAGAAGACTCCTCTTCCTGAGTTCAAATCTAGCCTCTGACACTACCTCTGTGACCTTGGGCAAGTCACTTAACTGTTTGCCTCAGTTTCCTCATCTGTAAAATGATCTAGAGAAGGAAATGGCAAACCACTGTAGTATCTTTGCCAAGAAAACCCCAAACAGGGTCATGAAGAGTTGTCTGCTACTGAACAAAAAGATCTTTCCAGCTCAGAATCTAGGATCTTGTTTTTTGACTTTTGTTTTATGATAGTAAGCGATTATATTGTAATTGTTTCAACTAAGTTATATTTTAGAAGACCAGTCAGCAAAGATTAAGCACCTCCGAATACGAGGCACTTGAAGTTAGAAGTGAGACTGTGTTATAATAATAATAGTAGAGTTATTTTTAGTACCCTGTATACCCTATAAAGGTAGGGAGGTGGTTTTTTGTTTTGTTTTTTAATCCTCGTTTTGAGAGGAAATCGCCTCAGAAAAGTTGTTACTTCAAACACTTCCAGGACTGTTATGTACTACTTACGACATTTCATATATATATATTCCAAAGTAGTTTTAGTTCTTCATATAATAAAGTCTCTTTTCCATTCTCATTATCATTGCTTTAATTTATATCTTCATTACTTCTTATCTGGCTGGACTATTCTAATAGCCTTTTAATATTGGTTAGTCTGCTTTTTTTCCCCCCATTCCTTCATCTAATCCATCTATAAGCACAAATGCCAGATTAATCTTGTAAGGTAGAGCTCCAATCCCTGTGACTAGCCAGTGCGTGCTGTAATTACTTTATGATATATATGCTTATATACCCCTCTTTCTTGATATTTCAGGTTTCACTTTGTCTTTTCAGTTTTCATCTACTGTCCTATTCTTTATCTGAACTAATGGTTTTGAAATTTTGGTCCCAGAACCTTTCACTCTTTAAAAAATTGTTTTCTTTAAATATTTTCCAATTACATGTAAAAACAATTTAACAGTCATTTTTTAAAATTTTGACTTCCAAATTCTCTCCTTCCCTCTCGCCCCTCCAATGTAAATTGACAAAAATAAAAGGTTTTTTTTTTGGTTTTTTTTTTTTGTTAAGTGTGCTTCAGTTAGCATTCAGAGTTCATCAGTTCTTTCTGGAGGTAGATGACATTTTCCTCCGAATTTTTTAACATTGTTATTTAAAGTTTTGAGTTCCAAATTCTATCCCTTCCTTCTTCCTCAGAAGGTAAGCAATCAGATATAGATTGTACATGTGTAGTTATGTAAACGTTTCCATATTAGTCATTTTGTTCAGGAAGACTTGAATAAGAGAAAAAAATGAAAAAAACATGAAAAATAGCGTGCTTCAGTCTGTATTCACTTAATATCAGTTCTTTCTCTGTAGAGAACTGCTAGTCTAAGCTAACTAAAGTACTTAATGTTTCCTCTTCGTTCTTTCTTGACTACACATCTTTTTATCATGTTTCCCATTTAGTTCAACAGGCTTTGATATTGGATGATATTTGATTAATGCTTCGTAGAGTGCCTGGAATGTAGCAAGTACTTAATAAGTACTTGCTAAGGAGATTCAGAGACAAAAATGAATCAGTCCCTGCTCTCAAGAAGCAAACAACATTTGCATAGAAAACTAAATACAAAATAATTTCATCTGAAAGAAAGGAAGAGAAGCAGATAACTGTTATCAAGCAAATAGGAAATAGCATTTAAATTAGGATTTGAACCACTCCTGAGGCCACCCTACCTTATTCACCTTTAGTAAATTAGAAAACTCTTTAATAGCAGTGACTGGTTTTTTCCTTTTTGTATCTCTTGTAACATCTAATAAAGTGCTTTGCATATTAATAGGCACTTAAATGATTTTTTTGGGGGGGGGCTGGAATTTTCAGTTAATCAGAATTATCAGGTGCCTGGGAAGAGCACTTCATTGTTGAATTTCCTATAACTGCTGTGCTAAAAAGGATGAACTGAAATTTCAAACATTGTATTGTGTGAACTCTTATGCCTCTTTTGTTCTTGAGCATTCATTGAGTCCTTTACTTTTGGGGGGGGGCAATTGGGGTTAAGTGACTTGCCCAGGGTCACACAGCTAATAAGTGTCAAGTGTTTGGTCTGAGGCCAGATTTGAACTCCTGACTTCAGGGCCAGTGCTCTATCCACTTCGCCATCTAGCTGCCCCACCTTTACCTTTTCAAGTGATGAACATTGGTTTTACCTGGGCTGTCTTGTTTATGGTAGTCTGGCAATATGTTTTCCTCTAGGGATAGTTGGTGGTGGTGGTGCTCGCAGAGCCCCTGTGCTTTACATCTATGTGGGGAACAACTGGTATGGATATTCAGCCATGTTACAGATTCACCACTTTGTAATTTATAAGTTTAGAGAATTGCTTGGGGTGGAGGGGTGGTACTTGAGAGATATTAAGTGATTTGTCAGTGGCTGTAAAGTCAGTATGTTTCAAAAGTATGACTAGTGCAGTCTTTCTTACTACTATATGCAAGACATGTCTTTTCCATCTCTTATTTCTTTGCTTTTGTACTTCCTGTCGCCCATACCTGGAGTGTTCTGTCCCTTCACCTCTACCTCTTAGTTTCCCTGGCTTCCTTCAAGACTTAAGCTCCCCTTTTCAAGAGACTTCTTCTGATCTGTTCAGTGCCAAAGCTTTCCCCTTTCAGACATTTCAGAAATCAGAGAAAGACTTGAGTATAAAGTTTACATAGGTTAATTCTTCCAGGTGTGTCAGCCTAGAAGGGATGAAAAGTTTTTAATTAAATTATGAAAGTGCGTGCACGCACTCACACACACCATCCCCACAAGGAGAAAAAGAAGTCAGCTAAAGAGGCAGAGATGTAGATTCTTAGATTCTTAAGATGGGTGTGCAAGAAGACGAGGTAGTGGAGGATAGATACAAAATAATATGTCAATGCATCATCTTCTAAGCATAATAAATCTCAGAATGAGCTGAGATTAGTGAGAAGTTAGGTTCATGAAATGGTTGTTTTTGTCATTTCTATTGTTTTTAACTATAGTGAGGGTGGTTAGATAGGAATATAATGACAAAAGTTGGAGAAGAGGTGGACTTTATGAGCTGAGCTGAGATTAGTGAGAAGTTAGGTTCATGAAATGGTTGTTTTTGTCATTTCTATTGTTTTTAACTATAGTGAGGGTGGTTAGATAGGAATATAATGACAAAAGTTGGAGAAGAGGTGGACTTGAACTTTTATTTGCTTTTTTTCTCTGCCAGGGAGAATATTAAGACCAGAGAAGAAAGGGTATAAATGACTAATTGTGTATTGTTACCAAGATAAATGGGGAAATAGTAAGAGCTCCTAATTGCCCGTGATAAATTACATCACAGGTGACTGAAAGAACTGGCAGGTGTGTGATTGTTGGGCATTGTCAGTGATCTTTGAAAGATTCAGAAAGGTAGGAGAGGTGTTATAGACCTGGAAAAGTATATGTCTGATTTTCCAAATAAGGGCTAGCGGTACATATAAACTAGAGGTGGTAGATTAGACTTCAAATACTGGCAAAACTCTAGAATTATTAAAGGGATGGTTTGTGAAAAGTAATTGGTGACCTGTAACAAACCCATCATAGCCTCATGTCAAGAACTGTTCCTGCCAGATTAATTTCATCTCCCTGCTTCCATCATCTTTTATTTTTTCTTTTTCTTCCCCTTAAACTAAACTGATAGTTCAGGGAAGTGCTATGGATATCATTTACCTAGATTTTTTAAAAGTATAGACAGTGATATGTGACAAAGTTATGGACAAGATGAAGAGATATAGGTTAGATAGGAATACAGTTAGGTAGATTCAGAAGTGATTGAATAGCTTTACCCAAAGAGTAGTTATTAACAGTTCCATATCAGACTGGAAGTGTATCTCCAGATTGTCATATGCCAGGGTTCTGTGCTTAGGTCTTACCCTGTTTACAGTAACCAGTCCATCACCCATCTTTGAAGTGCCTAGTATGTTCCAGGCACTGTAGAAGGTAGTGGAGATACAAGTATAATGATAGAAATAATCCCTTCTCTCAAGGAGCTCACATTCTAAAGGGAGAAAAACAAGGGCTTATACTTTTTTAGTATCTTCAGTGGCCTGCAAAGTCTGTTGTGCATAGTGTGTTTGATGAATTAAATGAAAAAGTCAAGCCACTTAAAGCAACATTTAAATTGCTTTAAACTAATAAAGTCACTAACCAATTAAACTTTTAACTTCGATTTAGACCTAGAACTTCAGAAGTCATCTAGTCCAACTTCCTTTATTATAGATAGGGAAACTGATGTCTAGAACAGTAGTTACCTATTCAAAGTCCCACAAGTAGTATCAAAGCATAATTTGAAATCAAGACCTCCCTCCAGTTGCACTGCTTCTGTTACAAAATATCCTTATTACAAGTATGAAATTTTTAAAAGTTTATTTCATCTGAGACATCTATGAAATACAAAATGTACCTTTAAATTTTGGAGCTCATTTGGTCTTTTGTATTCTGTACAGACTTTAAAAAAAAACAACAGGTTTTTGTGGTTGTTTTTTTTTTTGTTTGTTTTGTTTGTTTTGATTTTTTTTCCTGATTCAATTGCTTAGTGTAGGATGTCATTAAGGGAGTTTTTTTGCTGGTATAGAATTCGTCATTGACATAAGGGTTATTTTGGCCTCTGATAAATCTTATGTATTTACTCATAAGGTGACTCATAATCTTGTCTTTAAATTTATCAGCCTAATTTATTTTTTTCCCTTTTTTATATGTTGAAGATTGGTTTTAAGGGGTGAGGCAAGAGGTTTTGGACTCGATGAGTTTCCACCGAAATGTCGGAGAAGTCAGGCCAGAGCACAAAAGCAAAGGATGGGAAAACAAAGTATACAACACTCAGTCTGTTTAACACTTATAAGGGAAAATCACTAGAAACTCAGAAAACTACAGGTAAGTGAAGTTCCTTTCTGTATGCATTTCTGTATAGCTACATCTATATCGATATAAACTATTACATGCTCACTTGTGTACACATGTGATTTGCCCAGTGTTTGCTTTAGATTCCCTATACATCAAATGAGGCATTGAAACTCATTTAATGTAAATATCATGATTTATATACAAGATCATAAAGTGTAAAAGAAAAGTTCATCTCAGAGGGAGCAAGGCAGGAAAGTCTTGCCAGAGATCATTTTAAGGAGGGGGTGTTCATGTTCATTCTAGGCATGGAGACAAGCCCTTGCAAAGACACTGAGGAGTATCTGGAGAGAAATAGAGGGCAGAAGACTGCAAAGATGAGAAGGGACTAGGTTGTGAAGGGCCTTAAAAGCCAAAAAAGAGCATTTTATATTTTATATGTGGAGGTAATAGGAAATATCTGGAGTTTAAGTAGGGTCATGACATAGTCAGACTTGTGCTTCAACAAAATTTTGATTGGCATCAAAATGTAGGATAGTTTGGAGTGGGGAGACACCTGAGAAAGAGAGGCCAAAAAGAATGTTATTGCAATTGTGAATTGATTTTTGACCTATCTCAGCTCTCATGGATTTAGTTGTCATCTCTATGCAAATGAGTCTCACATCTATTTATACAGCCCTAACCTTTCTCCTGACCTTCAGTCTTATATCTCAAACTAGATGTTCCGCAAGTTTCTTAAACTCACCATGTCCAAAAGGGAATGTATGTTTCCTTCCTTCTCCCCCAACCTTTCCCTGTTAACACTCTTATTATCAAGAGAACAACCATCTTATAAGTCATCCTGCCCTGCAGCCTAGATATTGTCCTTTACTTCTCACTCAAACTCTATAGCCAGTCCATTGTGAAGTCCTATTGATTCCACCTTTTCAGTATCTTTCGTATATGTCCACTTTCTTTTCTTTGGCCTTGCCACCACACTGATACAGGCCCTCATCATTTTATACCTGTTGCACATGTGTGCAATATACTATACTAGTGGGCTTCTCAGCTCTGCAGAAAGATGGGGGGGGTGTCTTCTTGAATCTCTTCTTTGAAGACATTCTTGTCCTTTGTTATTTTGTAGCATTCACTTTGTTTTTGTGATCATTCTTTTCCTTTACATTGTAATATTGTTTTCTTGGCTTTTTTTATTTCACTGTGCATCAGTTGAGAGATTTTTTTCCATGAGTCTGTACTCACCATATTTGTCCCTACCTTTTTTTCATTATTTTTCTTGATAGTCTATATCTTCAATTTTCCAAATGAATTTTCGTATGTAGTTCTGTAGAGTGTGTGTGTATGTATGTGTGTGTGTATATATATATATACATATATATCAACTTTTATATTATTGGCATTTTTATTATATTGGCATGATCATCTATAAATCTCTAATAGTCCTAGCAAATTATATAAGTTGTCCTTTGTTTCTTTAATGAACACTTTATGGTTGAATCTGTGCAAATGTTTTTTGTATGTTTTGGTAGACCCTGAAATATTCTAGGTATTTTTATTATTTAGAATGGTATTTCCCTTTCTATTACTGCCTCTTAGATTTTGTTATTACATGGAAATACTGTTGATTTTTCAGGTTTATTTTATAGCCTGCAACTGTGTTGAAGCTATTAATCATCTCAATTGGTATTATTTCATCTCATCTCATCATCATGAGTATTAATCATCTCAATTGCTTATTTCATATGATTTTTTTAAGTATACTATATCATCAGCAAATAGGAATAGCTTTATCTTCTTTACCTGTCGTTACACCTTTAAGTTCTTTTTTATTATTAGTTTATGAGCATTTCCAAAATTATATAGAAAAATAGAGTGGGCATCCTTGCTTTACTCCTATGTTTATTGGAATGTTTATATATGTTCATAAACACTATGGTTATATTTTGTTTTGGGGTTAGGCAATGGGGTTATTTGACCTGCCCAGGGTCTCACAGCTACTAAGTGTTATGTGTCTGAGGCCAGATTTGAACTCGGGTCCTCCTGAGTACAGGGCCAGTGCTGTATCCACTACACCACCTAGCTGCCCCAACACTATAGTTATATAGTGTGTCCTCATGGCATGTGATGCTTGCTATATAAATGAGTGCTGTGTTTTGGCGAAGAGGAAGACAACTTGTGGGAATAGGTTTGCCTTAAAGTAGACTGAGCTAAAATAACTGAAAAGATGAAGCACTATCTTTGTAGAGCAAGAAAAGGGAAAAAATTTCTAATTAGGGGAGTAAAAAACCAATGTTAGAAACAGAGGAGATTATAAATCTGTCATAACTTTAAATATGCATGGATTAAATAATCCAATAAAATGAAAAGAGTGACCATTTATGTTGGAAAACAAAACTCCACAATCTTTTGCTTATAAGAGCCATAACTTGAAAACAGTTGACATACAAAGAATAAAAATGAGAGTCTGGGGAAAAAAATTGACTGTTAGGTGATTCCAGAAAAACAAGTGTTGCAGTCATACAACCAGACAAAGCAAAAGGAAAAATTCACAGTCTAGAGAATAATAAACTACATTATGCTGAAAGGAATCACAGAAAAGAAACTGATAGTAATATTAAATTATCTGCTCCAAATGCTTTAATATCTAAATTTATTTATTTATTTGTGAGGCAATTGGGGTTAAGTGACTTGCCCAGAGTCACACAGCTAGTGGAGTGTTATGTGTCTGAGGTCTGAACTCAGGTCCTCTTGACTTTAAGTTTGGAGCTCTATCCACTGTGCCATCTCGCTGCCCCCAATATCTACATTTTTAAAAAGGAAAAAAAAAATAACTAAATTCCAAGAAGACATAGACATTAATGCAATAATAGCAGGAGGTTTTCAGGTCTCTCACTTAGCTTTGGACAAATCTAACATAAGACAAAAGGGAAAATAAAGAATTGAACAAAGTACTGGAAAAACTTGAGCAAAAAGACTTGATGTGTCTTGTAAATGGAAGTGCTAAATAACATGAATTTTTCAGCACCATGTGGATTTTTACAAAACTTGATCATATTCAGGCACTCAGGCAAGCAAATGTAAAATAATAGTCGATGCAGTGAGCACAAACAAGGCACAAACCCAAATGGAGACTTAAAGAAATCCCAGATAATGAGTGAATCAACCATAATTATGTGAAAGAAAAGGATAACAATGAAATAACATACCAGAACTTTGAGTATGAAAAAACAGTCTTCAAGAGAAAAAATACATCTCAAATAACATACATTACCAAAGTAGAAAAGGAGAGAATTAATGAATTAAATATGCCTTTTTAAAATTAGAAGGCCAACAGGTAAGCACAAGAGAGGGTATATTGAAAGAAGAGAAATTGATAAAGCAAAACGACTGTAGAAATCATAACACCCAAAGGTTGCTTTTTTGAAAAAGATAAAATTGATAAACCTTTTGCCATCCAGATTAAAATGAAAAGAGCAGAAAATTAACAAAATAACAAACAAACAAGGTGAAATTACAAACAAACCACAAGAGACGTAAGAGAAAATTTTGTCAGAACCTGCTATGTGCTACTGAGAAGAGAAACTGAGAAGAAAAAACTTTCAAAAATATAAATACCCAAACTAACAAAGACCAAATTGGTATTTTAAATAATCCAGTCTCAGAAAAAGAAATAGAACTAACTTTAATTATCAAAGAAAATAAAAACATCTTGGTCCTGGTGGGTTCACAGGAGAATTTTATTAAAAATTTAAAGAACAATTAGTACCAATACTACCCAAATTATTCTCAAAAAATTGAGAAATAAAACACCTTAATAGACTCTTTTTTTGAGCGAGATAGTCCTAATACCTAAACCAGGAAAAGATTAGCCACAGAAGAACTGTAGACCAGTATTATAAATGTTGATTCAAACATTTTAAGTAAGTTGCTGTCAGATGGACTTCAGCGATTTATTCAAGTCATCATTCATCATGACAAAACATGATTTATACCAGGGATATAACGATAGTCCAGCATTAGAAAAACATTCAACATAATCATAATAAAAACAAAAATATGCGCAACCACATGATTATCTCAACAAGTGCAGAAAAATCCTGTGACAAAGTAGAGTGCTCATTTATGCTTTTAAAAAAACAAAAAAAAACCAAAAACTTGTAGTATTCTTAACTTTCCCCCCCTCCATGTACTGTGCAGTCCAGTGACATTGGCTGACTGTCATACCTGGAAGGTGTTTCCTCTTGAACTGTCTCTTGGTTTCTCTGATTTCCCTCAAGTCTCAGCTAAAATCCTAACTTCCGCAAGAAACCTTTTCTGATCTCCATTAATGCTGTTGCCTTCCTTCGAAGATTATTTCCAGTTTATACCCTTAGTATCTTGTACATAGTTGTATGTGTGTTGTCCATTTAGACTGTGAACTCCTTGAGCTGGGCTATTTTGGCTTTTTTTGGATTCCCAGAGCTTGGCACAGTACTTGAACACATGATAGGTGTTTAATAAATACTTTTTGACTGCACAAGGATAATAGCTGTCTCATTGGAGAAAAGGGGACATATACAGAAGATGTTAGGAAACATTAGGTTTTTACAAATGGATTTGGGAATCATCTAGAGACTCGGGTCCTAGACAGATTCTTGGAGGACATCCAAGATTAGTGGGCATGACCTGAATGAAAATCAGCAAAGGAGATTGAAAAAGAGTGGTCAGACAGGAGATCAACCAGGAAGAGAGTTGTGTCATGAAAACTTGGGTAGGAGAGAAAAACCAGGAGGAAAGAGTACTTGAAAAGATCAAAGGATGTAAAGAGGTTGAAAAAGATGAGGATTGACAATAGGCCTTTAGCAATTAAAAATTCATTGGATTTTGGAATTGAACATCAGTTGAATGATGTGAGGCTGTAAACCAGATTACAGAGAATTTAGGAGTGAGTGAGAGAATGGGAAGTGCAGGCAGCTAGTATAGGCAACCTCCAAGGAGTTTACCCAAGAAGGAGATGAGAAATGTAGGATGGTAGGTAGTAGGGATAGTTAGATCATGTGAGGGTTTCTGAAGAGTAGGGGTATATGTTTGTAGGGAATAGGGAAGATATTAGGAGAGATTAGAGAGGCTGAAGGTAATAATGGGAGGGGGGCTGAATGCTAGAGAAGAAAGGATGAGATGGGATCAGGGGTGCATATAGTAAAAGGATTTGCTTTGGCAAGGAGCCTGTCTGTTTCGTATGAGAACCAGGGCAACAGAAGGAGGAGGCAGTGGGCAAAGATAAAAATCTGAATGATGTGGGATAAGGAGCTCTTGGTTAATGACTTTAATTTTTTCATTGAAGTATGAGGTGAGGGCCTCAGCTAAGAGGGTAGGTGGGGGAAGGAGTTCCATTGAGAGGCTGGAGGGGAGGGGGAAGTTTTGGAATAGCTGGGATAGGGGTGGGGAGTGAGGATTGGGTTTGTGAGTTGTGGGGTTTTATGCTTGGATGTTTTTTTATTGGTGGTGGGTTGTTTTGTTTTGGGGGTTTTTTTTTTTTGTGAGTGCAGTGACAGATCGGTGATGGACAGGTAGAGAGCTTGCCGCACCATAATGAGGGCCTAGTTGAGATTATGTAAGATAAATCTGTAGTGGAACTAGTTTACCTGATTTAGAGATTTCTCCAGGAGCAAAAGAGACACACAGGTGGTGTGAGAAATCCAAGGTATGGGTTTGGCAGGGCTTGATCAACCATGGCAGAAGGGGGCAGAATTAAGAGTAGAGGATATTGAATTGAATTGAAATGATTCACTGAGAGGATAGAGATAAGGGAAGAAAAAATGGCATGGAATGATTGGAGGTCATGGCAGGGAAGATCAACGTTAGAGGTCATGTGTAGCAAAAGTTTGATAAAAGATTGTGATCCAGTGAAGAAATTTCAGAGTTGATGAACATGAAAGTGGAATGGTTGTGGATGATGGCCAGATCATTTCTGTGTGTGTGAAATGGAATAGAGGAGTAGGTCATAGATATTGAGTAGCTAAAGGTATACTGGGTTAGGGTATTTGATCATTTGGGAATGAAAATGTCAGTTGTTGATTGCTACCATTTTTCTTATTAATCAATCAGCAAGCATTTATTAAATGCTTACTATGTATACATGCATTGTGCTAAGTTCTAAAAGAAGAAAAACTAAAACATCTTCCCTCTTCACCCCCAAGCTTTTAAGAAGTGTCAAGATCATCAGTGGTTTAAAAACCCTACTTATCCAGCATTATTTGCATGTACTGTATTCAAATCTCACTTGTCCTAATAATATTTGAAGAGTAAGACAAATGAAATGGAAATGCAGAAACTAACCCAATTTTATTGATCTTACAGTTGCTGCCCGTCATGGATTGCAGAGTCTGGGAAAAGTTGCTATTTCTCGGCGTATGCCCCCACCTGCCAACCTCCCCAGTCTCAAGGCAGAAAACAAAGGCAATGATCCTAATGTGAACATTGTGCCTAAAGATGGTACAGGGTGGGCATCTAAACAGGAACAACATGAAGAAGAAAAGTGAGTTTACAGTAGTATACCATTTAGGAAGGAACATGGATTCTTAAAGTTCAGGAACATTTTGCCTTACGGTTTTTGCTTATTCCTGTGACTTAGATAAAAAAAAGATTGAATATGTTTCCTTTTGCACAGAAATATTTGCGTACTGAATTATATTGATTGGGTCATTAAGCTAAATAGTGATAATTTTTGTCATGGTCTGTGACATCAAACGCTTACATATCCCTGGATTTATCCTTGGAGCAGTATTTTTTATCAGACTGGCACCTTAGAGTACCATATGTTGTCAGTTTGACTATTTTTCCAAATACTGTCAAAGACTTACTGCTTTGTGCTTCTTAGTCATAGTGAACTAATTGTTTTAAAAAAATTAATTGTGGGTTAGTAATGGCACTTATCTGATAGGATCACAAGACTAGATTTTTTTTCTTGGTCCTTTGTTACATCCTAAATATGGCATTATATCCTTTCTTTATTCATTGATGATATTAATTGGGCCTAGACATTAATGCTTATGAGTGTGCTGTAAATGTTTTATCCTTCACAGTGCCATTACTGCTTAGTTAAAACAACTTAGAGGGAATGGTCATATAACCTTGTTAACCTCGTTTTATGCCCTCTTAAGCTATTTAAATTAAAAGTGGTTTTCTTGAAAATGATGATCCATAACAAATGATATTTTTCCTTGTGGTTGTTGTGCAGGGATCCTGGTAAAGTAGAAGGTAAGGTTTTTGAGGCATTTTCTTTGCTAAATCTGTGATAAGTAACTTTTTAAATTAAGGTGACACTACCACTTGAAATTAGCACCAAATGTGGACATTTCTAGTTAACGTATATACTTGTTCCATTTCTGAAATAGGTATTCGCTCCCCCTCACACACACACCCCCCTATTTTTTTTTTAAAGACCACCAGAAGTGCCGCCAGCGCAGCCAAAATCAGGAGTTACTGCTCCCCCTGAAGTTCCTCCGGTTGTCAAATCATGGGCCAGTAACAAGCAAGGTGGGCAAGGAGATGGTAAGTGTAAACTAGCTGGGAAAATTAGTTGGACTTCACAGTAACAGAACAGCCATACAGGAAATGGGTTTGCTTTACATGGTCCTCTGAGAATTTTTGTAGCATTCTCAACCCCTAGGAAATAGTTTTATATCTCTTTTGTCAGTTAAGCAGGTGTTAAGTGACTGAGAAACTACTCATTTCTCCCAGTATGATAATGAAAGTAAACATGTATTTTCAAGCTTGAACTTTTGAAACAGAATAGGGGTTTTTTTTAAACATCAACCATCTTTGAATGATTTATCTTTGTGTCCCATGTTATCTATCTTTCCTTTCTACCCTTTACCTCACTGTCTCACTTACACTTAAGAATAGGGCAGTAGTCAAATTTTAGTGTTTTCATATCTATCACCTGCTTTCCTTGGGCAAAAAGAACAGCCTCTGTATGACACTCTGGCAATTTAAGTTATCTGCTATCCTTAAAAAAAGAGAGAGAGAGAGAATGAAAATGGAGCCATACGGCTTCTGTATTCTTCTGGAACGTAGCACTTTTTGCACAATTCCCTGGCATTTTGCAGCATTTGGTTTTGAGTTAAATGAATGAACATGTCCTTTAGTTATAAGAATCTCAGCATCATCTGGTCAGTTCAGTATATATTTTCAGTTGTTTACCATCTTTTAGACCACTGTACTATCATTCTTAACCATTGAAAGATTTTCTCTTAAACCCAGATATAGGCATTATTGACTTCATTCCTAAAGTAGGATCTAACTTTAATATTCGCACCTCCTCCCCACCCCGAAAAAGTACAGTATTTTTGTAGTTTTGCCATAAATATTGCTTCCTCAGAATTTATGGAAGGGATCAATCAAGATTAGTGAGTTAAGTCTGAATTAAGGATTTTCAAAATATTTGTTTAAATAAAAAAGATATTCCCTATTAAGTTTCTGTATAATTAAAGTCTTTGTTACCAAATCGTGTATTTCAAATTAGCCATCGACTCCAATTCAGAGAAATAGTATGGTTTTTTAGAAAAGGGATTTGACCGGTATAGGTAATCTGGGGGAGTTAATTTACTTCATTGGATCTGTAATCTCACCCATGTGCATACTTCCTCCAGTGATGTAGATCTCAGACCACCCTTAACCTCTTCTTTTCCTTTGGGAATCTTGCCTAGAAATCTTCCTAGAAATTTTTCAGAAATAAACAATGTGTACTGGCCAACATCTTCTGGTCACATCTTTTTATACTGCTTCTTATGTGCAGTTTGTAGTAGTAGGTAATATGCTGCAGCCTATATATGTATATGTGTGTGTGTGTATATATATATATATGTCACCCATATTTCCATTGTCCTTTCATTGATTCAAAGGCATATACAGCATCAACAAAAGAATACTGCTGTTTAAAAGATGGGTTTTTGTTTGAGGGAGCAACTTGGTGATATTAAAAGTGCCATACATGTTAGCCAATGCAATCTAGTTCTTTTCTCCTATTTTATTCTGAGCACCAGCTCAATGACCATCTGCTACATCTATCCAAGATCTACGTGCTCATCAAACAACTGCAGCTGCCCGTTCCAACCATGTAGTGAAGACTATGAATTTGATACTAGGCAGTCTTTCTCCATTTGGTTTATCTTTTGTAGATTGTTACTCTGAACAATTTGTGATGGCCAGGAGTGTAATTTAGGACGTTAGGCAGTGTGGTAGAGGCCTGGTGTAGTAAGCCAGTCATCTGCATATAGAAGAATTTAGAGGAATTCACTTTCTAGAGACAGTCCTTATGGACTTTTCCTGTAGACATTCTCCATGATGATGGCAGGCATTTCTGTCAAGTGTGTTACATATGTAATCTATGTATTTTTTAAAAGTTACCTCTGTCTATTCATTAATCTAGTATGAAAGCACCTTGTTGGAGAGAACCTTTAATTCTTTACGTTTTTTCTGTCTTATGAAGATGATGAAAACAGGATACAGATTGATGGTTTATGGTGTCCTCTTAGTTTCTTTTTTCAATAGAGATATTCTTAGGATTTTTTATGACTTAATATAACTTGATAACTTGACAGTCTGTAATATAAACAACATATTTGTATACTTAATGTGTTCTTCTTGTCTTTGTTTTCCTTATCTCCATTTCTTCATACAGAGTATAAATTCCCTGTTGTAGCTCCATTCTCATTGAAGAAGTTTTTCAGTTTTCATCTGTTTGCAAGTTTATTTTTAAATCCTTTTGGGATGATCTGGTTTAACTGGTCTCACATCAAGCTTTCTGCAAAAATCACTTCTTTTTGCTGTTTTTAAAAAGGGATGATGCATATAATCTTCCATTCTTTCCCATAAGTTTGTATTAAGATATGATCAGTTTAGGGGCAGCTAGGTAGCACAGTGGATAGAGCACCAGCCCTGCAGTCAAGAGGACCTGAGTTCAAATTCGGCCTCAGACACATAAGACTCACTAGCTGTGTGACTCTGGGCAAGTCACTTAACCTCAACTGCCTCACCAAAAAAAAAAAAAAAAAATTTAAAAAAAAGATATGATCAGTTTCATTTTTGTGGCATTATTTGGTGCTTATCAAATCTAGAATCATTCTGTTTTCTTCTTGAAGAAACTATTCATTTGTATGTGTGTATATGAATCTCTTGTGTTATCTAAAAATCATTGTTCTTGTTCCACAGTCCCAAACTATATCTTCAGTATTTTTAAAACTGTTTTCCTTTATATTCCTAGTGTGCTACTACTGCATTCTTCTCCTTCCTCTCTCTCCACCCTTCCCCACTCCCCTGTCCCAGGGTAGTTAGATTATTAAAGTATATATTGATTGAATTTGAAAGAGTCTGATCATATTTGCCATTGAATTTTTGTATCTCTCCATCTTCTGGAAGATGTTGGCAGTCTTGCCATTATCTTCCTCATGATCTTTTTGCCTTTGTTCCTCGTGAACTATCTGTGCCATGAAATTATTTCCATGGAAAGAGGGGGGAAGGTACAACTCTTATCCTAATCCAGATATCTTGTGTTCTCTATAAAAGTAGCTGATAAGTATCTTCTCTTGCTATGTACTCACCACTGTCCTTCACTGTCATCTCCCCCTACCCCCCAACTCCTTTTTCAAGGAGTTGTAGTTAAATATAAACTCTTAAAGACTGAGGCAATATTTTCCATCAATATTAAGTTTCAGCAGAAAGCTAATAGTGATTTATTTAGAAAATAGAAAACAGGAGAGGGTGCTGACCAGCAAATTAATGTTTCATGGTTATATATTTATATTTGATATTTTAAAAATTCTTTAGGTGTTCAAGTAAATAGTCATTTCCAGCAAGAGTTTCCTAGTCTGCAAGCAGCTGGAGATCAGGAAAAAAAAGACAAGGATACAAATGATGATGCCTATGGACCTGGACCCAGCTTACGACCACCAAGTAAGAGAGCATTTTATTTTGGATAAATTACTTTTTAAAATTCAGTGTTAGGGGCAGCTAGGTGGCGCAATGGATAGAGCTCCGGTCTTGGAGTCAGGAGGACCTGAGTTCAAGTCTGGCCTCAGACACTTGACACCTACTAACTGTGTGACCTTGGGCAAGTCACTTAACTCTGATTGCCTTACCCCCCCAAAAAAAAATTCAGGGTAGTTGATATTTTGTACTTAGTTTTGTTTTTTTTTTTAGTATCATTTAGGCAATCAAGCAATTTTTATTAATCCCCTATTATATGCTCAACACTGGGGATAAAAAGACAAAATAAATCAGTTCTTGCCCTCAAGGAGTTCCCATTCTATCAAGAAGGTAACCTACACATATAAATATATGCAACATAAATACAGTTCAATTTATGTGGGGAGAAACTAGCAGATGGAGTAGATCAGGAAAGTGTATAGAGGTCATGTGTGACCTGAGTTTTGAAGAAAACTAGAATTTCTGAAAGTCAGAGAGAAGGAGGGAGTCCATTCCAAGTATAAGGGGCAGAATAGGTAAAAACACAGTGGTAGAAGGTATAATATAGTGTGATGAGTAGAAAGAAGCCCAGAAAAAGAGGGCACAAAGTGGAGATCAAAAAACAAAACAAAACTGGGGAGGTAGATTTGATCCAGTTTGTGAAAGGCTTTAACTGTCAAAGTAAAGAGTTGTATTTGATGTATAGGTAATAGGGAGCCACTAAAGATTCTGGATCTCAGAGTGACATCAGTCCTGTGCTTGAGGATAATCACTTTTGTGGCTTTGTGGAGGATGGATTGCAGTGTAAAGGAGACTTTGAGGCAAGGAGACTAATTTTGGTGCTATTGAAACATTCTAAGGGAATGAAGATGAGGACCTGAACTAAAGTGATGGCTGTGTTACTGGAGAGAAGGGGATGGATGCAGATGTTGCAGAGGCATAATTGACAAACGTGATTGTTGGAGTGTGTGAAGCAAGAGAGATCCAAGTAGTCAAAGGGTGACCCAGGGTGCATACCTGGTCAAATATATAAAATGATAAGGTTTTTTGGTATTATTATCTTCCTGACTTCTAGAGAAGGCGGTATGTTACATTAGTTTTCTATATGCTTCCTACCTCACTGATTATCAGTAGGAAGAGACCTCAGGCCATTGACCCTCAAGTAAGGAGTAAGTGGAGGGAAAGCACATCCAGTTCCCAGGGCAGTCCATTCCACTTTAGCATAATTGTAATTGCTAGAATGGTTTTCTTTAAATCAACTGAAATTTGTCTCTCTGCAGCTTCTACCCATTTTTCCTGATTCCTCCCTCTAAATACAAGCAGAACCGACCTAAACCCTCTTTCCCATGGGATGACCTTCTCCTCACTCCCTAAAGTCTTTCCTTCATCCAGTCCTCATGACATGATCTCAAGGCCCTTTACCACCCTTGTTGCCTTCCTCTGAATAGCCTCCAGCTTATCATTGACCTTCCTAAACTATGGGGCCACTGTCTGAGCATAATACCCTAGAGGTGGGTCTGACTAGGATAGAATGCTGTGGCACATAGTCACCCCCAATGTGTTTGATATTCTGCTTCTCAGGATGCTTTATGCTGTCTTAAGCTTTTTTTGCCTTCATATCATTGATTTCATATTGAACTTGCTGTCCACTAAAAACCCAGATCTTTTTCAGTCTACTGTATAAGAATCATAAAAAAGGATCCTAAATTTAGATGGTGCTTCCCCATATCTTGTACTTAGGAAGTTGATTATTTGAACCCAAGTCTAAGATTCTGTATTTATCCCTTTTAAGTTTCATCATTTTAGATTCAGTCCAATAATCTAACCTATCAGAACCCTTTTGGATACTGACTGTAATTTAATGTGTTAGTTATCCCTCTTGTACATGCCTTCTGTGCCTTTATCCAGATAATTGACAAAAATGGTAAAGAGTAGGGTCCATCACAGATCCTTGGTGGCACTGTACTTAACCTCATTCCAAAATCACTCTTGGCTTGTGAATGATTACTTTTGGTATCCAGTCATTCAGCCATTTCCCAAATAAACTTAATTGTACTACCATCTAGGGCACATCTCTTGACCTTTTTCAGTGATTTGTTGTTGCACAATTGATTTGTTAGGCCTTTAAACCCCAGAGCAGATTTTTATCATCTCCATCAAAAAATTACAGTTGACTTTGCTTCCTAAGTTGTATAAAAGCCAATTTTTGCTTTTTTTATCCATTTCATTCTTAGTGCTTTGCATGTTTAATCCCTCTTCCTACCAGATGTTGCTAGTTGGAGAGAAGGTGGTAAATCTGCTGGCCCATCTTCTCCATCTGATCAAGAAGATAAGCTCCCTGGTCAAGATGATGGTGCAAATGGACCAGTAGAGCAAAACGATTCTCATAAAACAACAGAAAAGAGGTTACCTGGTGTTCCGCCTCAGATACCTCAGCCTAAACTGAATGGACAACAGCAGCCTGCTCTTGCCTCTCAGTACAGAGCAATGATGCCCCCTTATGTAAGTACTGTTAAGTGGATGAGGTCTAAAATCTGCATACCAATTCAACTAAAAAAAAAATAATATCTACTAAGTATGAGACAGTCTTCTGGGGTCTGGGAAGACAAAACCAAAAATGGCCCCTGCTCTCAAGGAGTGCCTGACACCTTTCATACAGTGCTATGCAATTTTAATATTATGTAATTTAATAATAAATATGGTGATGAGTAAAAAAAAGATAATGCTTTTAAATCTTCTTCCTTCCTGGAAGAAGCAAGCTATAACTCTCAAAGATATTTTCATTTTGGTCTTGTGTTTATTTTAGATTTTGTTTAAGGTCTGAATATCAAGGCCTGGTTTTGAACTGTTTCACTACTTCTTTATTAGTAACTTATCCCCTCGGGAACATTTAAATCAGCAGCAATCTAAAAACGTGTTTGGAGGAAAAACAGTAGAAATTGTTTTTTGTTTTGTTTTGTTTTGTTTTTAATTCATCAGTAGCTCTTAATTATTTGTCGCACCATGCCTTGGGGGTTTAAAGTGCTCAGCTTGGGAATTAACATGACCTGGATTCAAATCCTGACAAAATGCTAGCTTTTTAACCCAAGAGAATTTACTTAACCTCTATGTGCCTTAATCATTTGCACTAAGACCATACCTACTTAGAGAACAATTGCAGTTTGTGTTGATAGAGGGAATTAAACCACACTGGTGAAATCACTATTCATTTGTGTGTTCATTTTTAATTATTTTTATTCTACCTATCTAGTTTGACCATAGATCATTGAATATTTAAAAAAACTTTCGGAGCACCACATAGCTTAAATGAATGCCTCATAAACCTTACATGGCATAACTAGTAATCTGAGCTTTAAATCAACATCAGATATAGGATATTATCTTTTATTATTCTTTCCAGGTCATAGGATGTCTATCCTTGTCTCCCTCAAATCCTTGAGTTAATTTGCTAGTCTGTTTTGTAATTTTCTCAATCTGAGTTTGGAAATAAACCCCTCTTGGTTCTTTTTTTTCCCCCCCAAATTTAATAAACGTGAACACTCTAGTCTACAAAAAAGGACGCAAAGAAAAGTTACATATAAAAAGAAACTTCTGTTAAATCCAGTTTGTTTTTTAAAGTATAAATTTTAACACCAAAGTAACACATTTTCTCTTATCTCTATCCTTGAATTTTCTTCTCTCTTTGATGTATTTTTAAAATAGATTTTTCTTGATATCTTTTGTTTTTAACATTTCCTAGGTTGCTCCCTGTATCCCTCCTCCTTGCCATGCCTTTTAACAGATATTCTTTTAAGAGGAAGAAAAAAATCAGCAAAATGGATAGACGTGTTGAAAAAAAAATCTGATATCGTATGCAATATTCCACATGTTGCTTGCTCATATGCTCCTTGAAGAATTTTTTTTTTTAAATCTAGAAGAATATTCCGTACTTATGGCTAGATTTTGTCAGTGTCTTAAAAAATGAGACTTAGGCTTACTTATAGATTTAGTGCTATGCCAAAGAGATGCTTGACAACTAGACAGAATTGGAAGAAAATTCATTTAGAAAAAAAAATATAAACTATGAAGAGAAATAATGAAAATGGTAGAATTAAAAAAGGAATAGCACTTCTTGATCTTCCGACTATATTATGAAACAACAGTCATCAAAATTGTATCGCTTTGTAAAAAATAGAAAAATAAATCACCAGAACAGACTAGATCAGACAAAAAAGAGCATAAATAATGGAACTCAATAATAACTTGGTGCCTGGTAAACCCCCAGTATAAATTACTTAGGAAAATATTCTACATTTGATGAGAATTACTGGGAAAACTGGAAAGCAGTCTGGCAGAAATTAGGTTTAGACCAGCATGTTGCACCATTTTCCACAAATAATTATGATGTGTGACCCTGACCTGAATATTTAAGCTCATACCATAAAAAAGTCAGAATAGCAAATTATATAATGTAGGTAGTTACAGGTGTGAGGAATAGAGGCAGTTACAAAAGATAAAGTAGATAATTTTGATTATGAAATTGAAAAACTTTGTATTTATTTTTAACTTAATTGATACTTTGTTTTCTTTTTTCTTTTTCTATTTTTGCAACTCTGTCACTACCTACCAACTATTTTCTTTGCTAGTAACAAATAAGTATAGTCAGGAAAAACTAACTAATTATCCCATATCTGAAAATGTGTATCTAATTCTGCATCTTTTGTCCACCCTTTTACCATGAGATCAGAAGCATTCTTTTATCATTTTTCTGTAGTCATAATTTATAATTGCATTGATCCATTCTGAAGTATTTCAGACCTGTTTTCCTTTATATTATTTTGGTTATCACATAAATTGTTCTTCTGGTTCTATTCACTTTATTCTGTATCGGTCTATATATACTTCTACCCAGATTTCTTTGAATATGTGATATTTATCATTTCTTATGGTATAGTATTGTTCCGTTAATAATAAAAAAATATCATAGTTTATTCAGACATTCTCCAGTTCTTTTCCCCTGTTTCTCAGTTCTGTTGTTACTGATAGTTATCTCTTATCCTCTAAGTTTTCAGTCTTCTGACCTTGTTCTAATATTTGTTTTTTGGTTTGTTTTTTTTCCTCACTGAATCACTGAGTTCTTTGTGTTTTGTTTTTCAGGGTGTCCACAACTTTGGTAAAGTTTCCATCTCCTGATCTTAAGTTTTTAATTTTCTTTCCAAGTGCTCTAATTTTATTCTTTACCTTTTTTGGGGGGGGGTCTTTAGTTTCATTTCGTTGATCTATTGGAGTCCTTGGGCCTAATCCATTCTTTCTGGTGCTCTACTTGTACTTGTTACAGGATAAGATGTTAGCAGACTATTGATAGTCCTATGTTGAATATAGTTCGTCCTGTAGTTCTTGAACTGAGCCTCACTTAAAATTCTTTGAGCCACCACTTGCCTTGCTTTAAAAGTAATATTTCCCGTGGTTCAGCCTTGAGGGCCTTATTCCCCACTGAGCACAAGTCACCATATCCTTCAGACATACATACCATCTTGCTTTGCACTATCTTTTCTATTAGGCTAATCAACTTCCAAGTTAAAATCAATTCTTTTGTTAACCAGAAAATATAAAGCCAGTAGTTAAAGTAAACTCTAATTGAGTTTTCATATACTAACTTTGTGAACTGTGTTTCAGTTATTATGCTAAAAACAAGAAATTCAAAGTTGAAAATGGCCCTTTCTCTAAAAGAGCTTGCAATTCCGGCTTATGAAACTAAATTTTAGAGCAAGATAATTCATATTTTTAATGATAAATTTTTTTAATAATATATTCTTGGATAGATCAGAATCCTATTTGATCCTTATAACTTCTCTGCAAAGTACGTTCTATCACTGTTTGACAGATGGAATTCAAATTAAGTGGCTTGCCTCTGGTCATGTGATAAGTCCTTTTGACACATGAACACATGAACATGACAATGGGCAGGTCATTTAACTTCAGTGATTGTAAGTTGGAGCTAATTTGTCCATCCTCATTGGTGGTGCACATTTCCACGTGGGGAATTCTCTGCAACTGATGAAATCACAGTGTTGAGGTATAATGGAACCAGTTGTGTGATAGATAGTTTTTCAGACTATTTTCTTCCATTATTTGAAGTCAGTTAGCATCCCTAGTGAAATGTTGACTTTTCTTTCAAGGAGAAATCTGGGATCATTAAAAGCACTGTGCTATCTCTCTTGAGTGCAACCCACCTGTTCACTCTTCAGTTCTAGGCCCACTTTACATTACTGTCCATCTGTAGAGCCTGTTCAAGATTGGTATGTTAGTGGGTTCTCCTTCCAGCTGGTAGCATGATCCAGACCATAGTTATTTCTGATCCCTTTTCCTGTGTGGATAGGTGGATCACTGTTTTGAGTGGTGCTGAATCTCATTTCTGAAATCCTCTGGTGCTGTGGGATTTGATGCTATCAGTACAAGAGCTGGTCCCATCAGTAGGCAAGTTGTTTGCCTTTCTGGACATTGGTTTTCTCATCTGTAATGTGAAAGGTATAAAGTCCCTTCTAACCCTAATTACAGAATAGTCACTCAAAATGAATATAATTTATTTTAGGTAAGTAGCAATAATGTTTATTTTAGCTAGTATCATGCCTATGTAGCTTTTTAGGGATAAAGCAGGTTTTTTAAGTTTTAAATTAATTTTTGGGTTAGATAAATGACTTTTTCTTCCAGATGTTTCAGCAGTATCCTAGGATGGCATATCCTCCATTACATGGCCCCATCAGGTTCCCACCTTCCTTATCAGAAGCTAACAAGTAAGAATTTTAAGTGATTAAAGTATATTAGATTGTGTATTCTGTATTCATAATTTCTAGTGATTGTGGAATGCAGACATTTAATAATGTATAAATCTGATTTTAAAATATGATAGTTTTCTGTTAAATCAGAAAAAAAGAATATATTTAAATTTTCCAATGATTTAATGAGTTTGAAATTTTAAGAAAGCATGCCACAAAGTACAAATTGTTCTATTGTTTTTGGTTTTGTTTTTGTTGTTTTGTTTTTTGGGGTTTTTTTGTTTTTGGTTTTGTTTTTAGGCAATTGGGGTTAAGTGACTTGCTCAGGGTCACACAGCTAGTAAGTGGCAAGTGTTTGGTCTGAGGCTGGATTTGAACTCAGGTCCTCCTGACTTCAGGGCCAGTGCTCTATCCACTGTGCCACCTAGCTGCCCCCAAAATTGTTCTATTGATGTGTTGATACAAAAGAAAGAATAAGAAGTAATTTTTGCTTTTTGCAAAAACAGATTAGGATCTTTTCCGTCCCTTGGTTTTCTTTCTGTTTTATTTTTTGACTTGTCCTTTTTGAATTGTGGATCTTCTTATTGCATAATGTTATCTTAGTATGTGTAGAGTAAATAAGGGAAAGAAACTTTTTAAGGGTATATTTTGTAATTGTTAGGCTCCTTTACACTCAATTTTTAAAAGATCGTACAAATTTACATTTTAGTTTAATTTTCCGTGGATAAAGTTTTGGTTCTCTGAAGTATTAAATCCATTGTTCATTCTTAAAAGAACTTGTTTTATTTTGAAGATTGAACCAGAAATTTTCAATCTTGAATTTTCTGCCAACTCAGTATTTCATTCTATTCTGGAGTGCAGTGTTTTAACCCTTACATTCATTTTTCATCTAGAGGTCTTAGAGGGAGAGGTCCACCCCCTACTTGGGCCCCTGAGCCTGAACGCCCCTCTATTCTTAGTGCAACGGAACTCAAGGAGCTTGATAAGTTTGATAACCTAGATGCTGAAGCTGATGAAGGCTGGGCAGGTAAGAATTGAAATTGGCTTCTTAAGTTTATTACATTCACTCCAAGGAATTACTCTGAGTTTTCCTTTATATTTATATTTAATAGGAGCTCAGATGGAAGTAGATTATACAGAACAACTCAATTTTAGTGATGATGATGAACAAGGCAGTAGTCAGAAAGACAGCAAAGATAATTGGTAAGTCATTAAACCATATGTTAAACCATATCTTCCAATTTCAGTGGGTTGCCATTAGTTGTACAGTATTAAACATCTGTGTGAAAACTTTTACCACTTTGCTTCATTATAAAAAAATATCAGTCTTAGCATGTTAATAAATATTTGTAAAGCATTATTTTGGGCTAGTCATTGTGCAGGATTCTGGGAATATAAATACAATAATCAAACAATCCCTGCCTTCCAGGAGCTTACATTGTAAATGGGGAACTGGGTGTACAGATAGAAGCCTTTACAAAGTGAATATATGGCCATTTGAATGGAGAAAGTAGTAACAGCTGGGAGTATCAGGAAAGGCCTTGTGTAGGAGGTGTTTGAGCTGAGCTCAGACTTAAACTCAGCTTCAGTTCAAACCCCAGGGATTCTGAGAGAGATAAGGAGGCAAGTGCATTTTGCAGGTTTGGGGGCAAAAGAGTAGCCTGGACACAGGTTTGATGATGAAAAGTTGTGGAAGAGTGCATGAAGAGGAATCGTGTGTAGACTAGACTAGAAAGTTTAGGGTAGGGCAGGTTATTAAACTGACACTATGTGAAATACTTAAAATGACAAGAGTTTTGTATTTTTTCCTAGGAGCAATTACTAGCCGATGAGTTAATAGGAAGGAAATAACATGGTCAACATGGTGCTTTGGGTCTGCTTTAGGAATATCATTGACATTTGTATAGAAGATAGATTGCAGAGAGAAGGGGCTTGAGACCAATTTAAGGTGATAAAATTCAGGCTAGAGGTGATGAGGGCCAAAATAGGATTGTAATTGTGAGTGGACCGAAGGAGCCACATGAAGAAGAGATGTGGAGGTAGAAGTGACAACTTTTCAGCTGATTAGATGGATGAAGGAAGAGTGCAAACTCAGTGAACCATAAAGCTGCTGTTCTGAACTGAAGCAGAGAAGGGGTGGGGGCATCCAGCGAAAATACTTTGAATTCTGTTTTGTATATGTTAAATATGGCACACTTACAGAACATGTTAGTTTGAAGCATCCAGTAGGCGATTGGGACTGGAACGCAGAAGAGCCACTAGGGCTGTGTATATAAATGTATAGATTTGGAAGTTATCTGTATAGAGATGCTAATTCAACACATAGGACTCACCAAAAGAGTGTAGAGAGAAGAGACAGGGGCTCAGGACAGACAGAGCCTCAGGGTCTGGGTCAGGAAGATGTTATCCAGCAAAGAGAACTAAAGAAATCCAGACAGGTAGTAGGAGGACCAGTAGAACAGTTAGCAACCTGTTTGTTTTGCTATTCAAAGAACTCTAGTATATTTTCTTTTGAAAAAGTTAATCATAGTGCCTTAATATCAGGACTCCTGTGACTGTCTCAGAAATTGACTGCTAATTTTCATTTCCATTTCACTTTCTTTCTTGGAAATCTGTAAAAAGAGACAAGGGTATTCCACAAATCACAATTTAGAAACACTGTTAGAGAAAATGTAGTGGATAAAAGAGATATTGATCATACATAATTTTCGCCCCATTCTTGTTATGCCTTTTGTTCTTTAGTGAAGAAGAAGCACCAAAGACTTCTGAAAGTGCTGAAAACCGCAAAGAAGAAGGTGAAGGTTCTAGCAGCAAATCTCAGTTGCTTCCACAATCAACAGTATCAAAGGGTCCCTATGGAAAAGGACCTCCTTTTAATCAGGTTGGTTGGACTGAGGTATATATAAAGTAATCAGCAAGCGTTCTTTGTAATGGCATGATTGAAATAGTGAGGGGGAGAGAGTTAATACTTAGAATGTCATGCAGCTGAAGACTTTCAAATGTAGTAACTTACTGAAAGCCAGTCATAGCCTTATTTATTTATTTTTGCACAGTCCATGTGAGGTATATCTTAAACATTCTTATTGAATTAAAGAATTTTAAGAAAGGGAGAGACTAGGCCAAACTGCTTGTTACTTTTCTAAATCTTTCTGTTAAAATGTCTTAGAGCCCAGAATGTCTTTCTGCTTAAAGATTTCTAGCAAACAGTTTTGCTTTTGGATAACTTAAATGTTAGTTTATAAGAACCGGAAATCTGCTTCTCTGTTAGGTTCATTCGTATGTTTTTCTTCCATTCATTGAATTCTTAATGAAGCCATTATGTGGGTTTTGTCTGATTCTTCCAGTGAGAAGGAATCACACTATCTGATATCTCCTGAAGCAGCCTGCTCTATTTTTGGTTAATTAAATTGTTAGAGTTTCCTTTGTAGAATGCCAACATATGCTTCACCATAACTTCAACTCTTATCATTGATCCTCTGCAGTTGTGGTTGATCAAAGTTTCTGATTCTTTCAGAGTTGTCTTTATAGTGTTGTTACTGTAAAGGTTGTTTTCAGGTTCTGCTCACTTCATTCTGTACCAGCTTATAACAAAGCTTCCAGGGTTTTTCAGAAAGTGCCTTTTCCTATTTCTTAAGTCACAGTATTCCAATTCATACATCATAATTTGTTCAGCCATACTCGACCAGATAGGTAGTCCCCTTAACTTTCACTTCCCTTTTGTGACAAAAAGAACTGCTTTAAATATTTTTGTACATCTGGGCCCCTTCTTTCTTTGATCTCCAGTAGTTTTAGTAATGTTATCACTCAGTCATAACGATTTAGTGCCTCTTGGAGCATGTTGTACTGTACTTTAAAAAAAGTATATAGTCTAGGATAACATTAATTTTTTGGTGACCATGCAACTCTTATTCAGCTTTTAGTCAAATAAAATCTTCAGGTGATTTTCACAGAAACTTGCATAGCAATATTTTCAACATCTTATTCTTATGATGGTCATGTTTTTATTTTTTTGTTTTTTTGCTTTTTGGTGAGACAGTGGGGGTTAAGTGACTTGCCCAGGGTCACACAGTTAGTACGTGGCAAGTGTCTGAGGCTGGATTTGGACTCAGGTCCTCCTAACTTCAAGGCCAGAGCTTTATCCACTGCACCACCCACCTGCCCCCGATGGTCATGTTTTTAACCCAAGCATAAGTCTTTATTCTTCTTATATTAAATTTTATTTGTTTTGGCCCATTGTTCAACACTGTTGATACTGTTGGAGCTAGACCTTGTCATTCAGCATGTTAGTTATCTTTCTAAGCTATGTGCTTTCTGCAAATTTATGTCTTTATCTAAGTAATTGATGAAAATATGTTAACAATGGAGGACTAAAGACAGTTCCCTTTCTCCAAATTAACCCTTAACTCATTATTAATGAGTATTCTTAGGTTTCTGGAAATCACCTAATCCCAAATGTACCTGCCTTAACTATAACACATTATCATAGAATCCCATATTTCTTCTCTGATCCTCAAGCATAATATGAAAGACTTTGTGTCAAGTATTTATTTACAGGATTTCCCTAATCTAACAGTCTAGCTTCCCTGTAAAAAAAAAAAAAAGAAATGGTAACCTCATATCTTTTTTTTTGATGAAACCATACTGGCTTTTAGTTTCCACAGCTTATCTACATTAGTCTCTACAAACATTTGCCTCTTTTTCTTATAATCTTTTCTCCAAGCTTTCATTCTCGAAAGGTTCTAATTCTCTTGAATTGACATTACCCTCAATATATTAGATTACATCTTCTAGCCACTTTTTATCCTTTGAAATCTAGGATTAATTTCAGGTTGCATGACTTCAGTGTAGCTTCATTTGCCTGCTTTTTGAGGGTGTTTTCTTATCAAAACAGATCTCCTTTTTTAGCATCTATTGTCTTCTTTTAGCAGTAATCTCTAAGTTGTTCAGTTCAACTCTACTGAACTTCATAATTTTTAGGAATAGTGATCTTCAAGTTGAACAGTTCTCAGATAGTTCTTAATCACTGGTATTTATCAGGTCAATATATATATATATAGCTTCCTTGGTTCCCCTTAGCTGTGAGTCACCAACCACTACTACTCCTTTTTTTCTTTGATGACTTGTCTGGCACCTGCTAACACTTGGGAATCCCTATCTCCTTAAATACATCTGCTTTCTCCAGAATTGATCCAAAATTTCATTCCTGTTATGTAGCTCTAAATATTCAATGTGTCCCTTCCTGCTTTGTCGTAGTCTTAGAACATCAGGGCATATTGGCAATAGAGCAGACACCTTTGCATGTTCATTGATTATTGTCATCATTAATAACTCTTGCCTGGTTAGACCAATCTTAGAATATTTGTTAGATAGCCAAATGTATTCAGGTGTTAGGTTTTACTGTAGTCTAATTCCTAGCTGAATATAACTCCCCAAAGTAGCATGATTTCTCTTATGTATAGTAAATTTATTGATTGATACAGTGTCTGTTGATTGATACAGTCTGATCATGGTAAGGATAAGGAAACTTTTACATTACAAAATAAAATTTTATCACAAGCTTATTTCTTAATTAAATGTGGTACTAGTTTAAGAACGGAATAAAAATGTACAAGGAATATAGTATTTGGCCACTAATAGAAATAAAAGCTAATGGTTTACTTTAGATCTTACAGCATGAGATGCTTTTGAAAGATTTTGAATTTTAATTTAGAGTATTAAATATATTTTTTTTTCAGAATGACTCATATTTTACATTTTGCAAATCTTTTCCTCTTTACTAATTAGGAACGGGGACCTCCCCCAGCTCAGTCCTTAGTGCATGAAAAGAACAGTGCTGCCCACTTGCCGCTTCAGCCAAAGTCACTTGTTCAGCAGGTATGATGCTACTAGTTACTGGTTAAAGTGCTTGAATTTTTGAGTGGAAAGACACATGCAAATGTTTCTCACTTGGAGTATGTTTTTCTGGTTCAGGAACTTAATAAAATATCTGAAAATCCATACTTAAAATTATTCTTTGAAGAGACTTGGTTTTGTTGAATCATGAAAATTTAGTGTAGTTGTCTTTAAGCTTTTTAAAGTATTTTTATGTATTCAAAATTGTGAGGGTTTGGGGTGTGGGTTTGTTTGTTTTTTTGTTTTTTAACTTAAGATCTTTCAGTAATTTTGCTTTTTTTGGCTAGGTAGTGGGTTAAGTGACTTGCCCGGAGTCACACATATAGTAAGTGTCGCCTGTCTGAGAACAGGTTTGAACTCAGGTTCTCCTGTGTAGCTCTATCCACTGCACCACCTACCTGCCCTAAATTAATTTCATTACTTTTTTTTTTTTTTTTTTGGCAAGGCAATCAAGAGTTAAGTGACTTGCCCAGGATCACACAGCTAGCAAATATCATGTGTTTGAGGTGGATTTGACTCCTGACTTCAGGGCTGGTGCTCTATCCACTGCACCACCTACCTGCCTCTAAGATCTTTCATTCTTTAGGATGAACTTGAATTTGAAATTGCTTTGTTATCCTTAGGATAACTAAAACAAAATTGGGTTTTAACTTGAATAAAATTAAGTAACATAAACTGAAACAGATTTGTAAGTGATAGGTAAATAGTTATGTTTAATAAATTACGAATTATACAGATACACTCTCTGATGTCACACTTTCTGTTCTGCAGAGACATTCAGTTATGTTATTCTTTCCTTCATCTTATTTGGCCAGCCATAAGCGACCTCTCACTTAATGATCTTTTTCCTAACCTCTGGTCACACATAATCCCACAACATGAACTGTCTATTGGACATTGCTGTGTATGTGCTGTGGACCCCTCAAACTTAGCCTTCTTCTGAAGTTACTGAATTACTGTTGAGGGCTCTGCAGTCACCTAGGTTCACAACTTTGCCATCATCCTCAATTTCTTACTTCCATCCTCATCCCACATATCCATGTATTTACCAAGTCTTGTTTGTGTCTCTACAAGATTCCTTGGATAGACCCCCTTGTCTCCACTCATACAGTCTACATGTCAGGCCGTCATCCTTGGAGAATTGCAATATTCTGCCTTGTAATTGGTTTTCTTGTCTGATCTTTGCCCATTCTGGTCCTTCCCTCACATAATCACCAAATTGATTCTTCTAAAATGTGGTCCTGACCATGTCACCCTATTAGTCAATAAACTCTAGTAGTTCCTTATCTCTGGGGCCAAATATAAATTCCTCTGTTTGGAATTTAAAGCTTTTTCACCCTGTTGTCCCTTCTAAGCTTTTAGCCTTCTTTCACATTACCTTACCTCCATATGTAATCTGTGGTCCAGCCATACTGTGTTCTGAGTTCCTCAAAGGTGATGCTCCTTCCCTTCCTATCTCCATGCAATTGTATTCTGTGTTGTCTCCTCCTTTCTAATGTATGCTTCTTGAGGAAATGGGACTTGTTTGGGAGGAGAAGGGGGTGTATTTGGCATTTAACATAGTACCTGGTACAAAGCATGTACTTCATAAATGTTGATTTAGATAGTTAAGCCATTTAATTGACAGATTTTTAAAATGATTTAATCTTGCGCACTACTGAGTTTTGTGAAGAAATAAGGTGTCCTGTTAGATTTTAAAAATAGAGACCTTGCTTATTCACCTAAAACATTTTTTTTATTTACACACTTATTAATGATATTTCCAATTAATTTTTTTAACATGACCCTGTTTTATTCTTACTTTATGTTCAGCCTTTGTCCCATAGGGAATTAAAAATAATTCAGATTCTATTTAGCCCCCATGTTTCATTGTAGGATTGAACTAGAACAAACGACAGCTTTTTGTAAACTGGTGTTCTGCATCAATCTGAAAAAAGATGGTATTCGTTAACAGTAAGTAGTGAGGGTGTTAGGAATCAGTAAATAAGAGCTTATAGTTATTCCAAATGGCATTATTGTTTGATTTTACAGTGAATACTCGGAATATTAATCACATCTGTATAATTAAATTTAAATACAAAATGAATTCCCATTTAAACTATTTGTGATCTTTGGACAATTCCTTACTACCATAAGATAATAAAGCATGCTGCATTTGCAAGATTAAAATACGTAGGCATCATTGGAAAATGGTTTGTAGTGTTGAATATACACAAACTTGGTTTTAGTGCTTACATGAAACCTTTAATATGTTGTAACTGAGGCAAGTCTGTTGCAAAGTCAAGCCAGTTTTTTCCCCATTTCTATTACTTTAGCCCTCCAGATGATATTTGCATTCATGAAGGTATATGAGATAGTCCTGGCAGAGAGTTTAGCTGGGATTTGCAATTACTTGTATTTTTAAAGTGCATTATTGCACCTTAGGTTTGCATCACCTTGGAATAATTGGTACCTTTAAATTAACTGAAAACTTTAAAATAGAGTAAACACAAAGAATCCTCAAAAAATGATAGTTAAAAAATTAGATCAAAAATATATATTGAATATCTACCATAGAAGATGTTTTTGCTTTTCTTTTTTGCTAGGCAGTGGGGTTAAGTGACTTGCCCAGGTCACACAGCAAGTTAAGTGTCAAGTGTCTGGGCCCAGATTTGAACTCAGGTCCTCTTGACTGCAGGGCTGGTGCTCTATCCACTGCACCACCTTACTGCCCCTGTTTTTGCTTTTCAGAAGCAAATTATACTTATTTACCTTTACAGGCCTTGTTGTATAGTAAAGAGTATAGAAATGGGAGTCAGAATATGGGTCTTAGTTCTACAATTTTATATTTCTGTGAGCTTGGAAAGCCATGTAACTTCTCTGGGTTTCATTTTCTTCATATGAATCCTGCTTGTTGAAGAATAATTCTAGTTCCAGCCCCTGCTTATCTCGTATTTTGCTACAAGAATCAAATAAAGAAAGCACTTTTTTTGGTGATGTATAATACAGAACTTTCCATTGTAAATTAACATCTGGTTCACATTTCATTCTTATTCCCTGAACTTTGAAACATATCCACACATAAACTTATTTATCTTTTTGACCTCACACTTTTAAAATCACTGTGACTAACTTAAAACTGGGGGTTGAGTTTTCTCAGATTTCCACTTTGGTGCGAGTATCCTTAATTTTTTTTTTTTATGTTCTGAATGTCTTTTAACAGTCTGAAGTCTATGGACCTCTCCCTCCAAATAGTGTTTTTAAATGCATATAATACATAGGATTACAAAGGAAATCAATTAATATTGAAACACAAACATCAAATTTTTAAAAACTTATTCATGGATCCTGGTTTAAAAACTCCTGCTATAAAACAGTATAGACCAGTATTGAAGTCTTTTCTGTGATGAAACTTTTAAGCTCTTTTTAAAAATGAACAGGATTGCCATACCAATGTCTAAGTATACTAGTTGGTCTAGAAGAAGCAATATTGATAATCTGATTTATTTCCTAGTATATAGAATCAAGTCATGTTACAAGGTTATATTATAAGGTAACATGATATAATGGAATACCAAAGTGTCATTCAGTCCATCAACAAGTATTTATTAAGCAACTACATTGTATCAGACACTAGGTTTGATCTGGGTAGACATACTCAAAAGTGGAATGATCTCTTACCTTAAAAAGATTACAGTATAGACAAGGGAGACATATGTGTGTATATAAGGAGATACAAAATAGGTTCAACCTTTTTGGAGAGAGGAGGCAAAATCAGTAAAGCTTTTATATAGATGCTAGTGTTTGAGCTGAACCTTGAAGAAAACTAGGATTCTAAATGACATTGTTGAGGATGGAGTGCATTCTAGGCATGGAGAACAGCCATTGCAAAGGTACAGAGACTCAAATTCAAGTGCCAGGTATGAGGGACAGTTATGGATCCAGGATCATAGTATATATGAAGGAGAATAATATGTAGTTAGGCTAGGAAGGTAGGTTGGGGCCAGGTTATGAAGGGCAAATACATATCAGAGGAGAAGTAATAGAGACGTTGGAGCTTATTGAATAGGAAAGTGCCATGGTCAGGCCAATACTTTAATTTAAAAAAAAAAAAAAGATTTCTTGAGATCCAGTCTTTTAACAGGTAGCAGGAAGTTAAAATGATCTTTCCCCATTAGACCTATGATAATTATTCTCCTTTGTGTGTATCTTGGTTAATTGGCATTCTTTATCTTAATATTTCAGCATCCACCTCCTGATCGACAGGCAGGACCTGGAAGATCAGGTCCTTTTCCTCCCAAACAGGTTCCTGATGAAGATGAAGCTTGGAAACAGCGCCGAAGGCAGCCATCAGAACTTTCTGCAGCAGTAGAACGTGCTAGAAAGAGGCGTGAAGAGGAAGAAAGGAGGATGGAAGAGCAGAGAAAGGCTGCATGTGCAGAAAAGCTGAAACAATTAAATGAGAAATATGGCATTGTAGAAAAACAGCCATCTCCTGAAGAAATTAGGGAACGGGAGCGTGAAAAGGAAAGGGAAAGAGAGAGGGAAAAAGAAAGGGAAAGAGAAAGAATAAGGGAGCGAGAGAGGGAAAAGGAGAGGGAGCGAGAAAGGGAAAAGGAGAGAGAACTGGAGCGAGAACGGGAAAAGGAGAGAGAACTGGAGCGGGAACGAGAAAAGGAGAGAGAACTCGAGAGGGAGAAAGAACGGGAAAGAGAGCAAGAAAAAGAACGAGAACTAGAACGGCAACGAGAAGCAGAAAAGGAACTAGAAAAAGAGAGAGAGAAGGAAAAAGAGCGTGAAAAAGAACAGCAGAAGGAAAAAGAAAGAGAGAAAGAGGAAAAATTGGAACGGGAAGAGCCTGCATTACAACCTGTGTTAGATAAACAAGAAAGTGAAAGCTGTAATAAAGAAAAAATAGGTTTGTATATTTTTATGTCATATTTTGGTTCTTGAATAGGTAAAATTTTCACAATCATTGTTTCTTATATTTCAGTAAGATAGTGCCTATTTTTTCCTGTGGTTTTATTGGTGTGAATGTATGCTTCGCCAGTACAGTTCACCAAAAAAGTCCTATTCTTGTCATTTAGTTAACGTTCTTGTGATGACTTCTGCATTTGGAATCCCTCACCAGTCCCTATACTAAAAGATTTACTAGCTTAGCAGCATCTCTCCCATGTCTTTTACTCTCTTCATAGAGCCTTTGAAAGTCCACCATCACCTCTTTTCCACAATGAAGCATCAGAGGAAGACCTCAGTAGAGATCTCAGTTAGGAAAAAAAAAAGAAAGAAAGAAAGCAATACTTTTAATATGAATTCTCTATTATATGGAGTGATTAATTCAGTGACCACTTCTTTTACCTAGACTTCTTTACTGCTCTTGCTTAGGGTTTTGAAGACTTAGTCATACCAAAGCAGTATTAGGTTTCGTTTTTTGTTTCTTTTACAAGTTGGAGGGTTGAGTGGAGGTACATTTCTTCTGAGTTCTTATTTGATTTTATCTGCCAGACTTTGTCAAAAGACTACCACACATCTTTCCCCATCTTAGCCATGAACAATTTCCCCTGCTTCCAAGAAGTATAGTTGGGCATTTTTCTGAAGGAAAAACTCATTAACAACAAATTATAAATTTAGGAGGCTTTTCATGGAAATGCTAATTTTTATAGACCCTAGCAGTCAGTAATTTCAGTTCTTCTATATTACCCTCTACGACTGGGGCAGTGGGGAAGGATAGGAGAGTGTAACTGAAATTATTTTGTATTTCATATGGGAATTCTTGTTATCATTTATTTATTTGTTTTTAGTTAATTTATTTTGAATTATCAGTAAGCTTTTGAGTTTTACTTTCTCCCTTCCCGTCCCCACCTCCCTCCCCAGGACGGCGTGCAATCTGATGTAGGCTATACATATATATTCCTATTAGACATGTTTTCACGTTAGTGATGTAAGAAAGAATAGGAACCATCAGAAAGGGGAAACAAAACACAGCAGAAGAAGAAAAAATAGCAAATAGTGTGCTTCGATCTGCATTCAAACTCCATAGTTCTTTCTTTGGATGTGGATGGCATTTTCCATCATGAGGCCTTTGGAGATGTCTTAGATCTTTGTATTGCTGAGAAGGGATAAGTCTATAAATATTAATCACACAACGTGGCTGTTACTGTGTACGGCGTTCTCCTGGTTCTGCTCATTTCACTCAGCATCAGACCATACAAGTCTTTCCAGATTTTTCTGAAGTCAGCCTGTTCATCTGGTTATCTTTTAGATTGAAACTACTTGAGATAATGTCGATTTTTTTTTTTTTAATTAAATATCATGAATACAACAGAAGTAAAGATGTTCGTATTTTGACTACAAAACATGAGCCTGTAAGCAGTGTGATGTGATAGGAGCATGAACTAGGTAGCTGGAAACTTGTGTTGTAGTTTTGGCTTTGTTATTAAGAAGCTGTAGGACTTGTTAAATTGTTGAATCTCCTTGGATTTCTGTAGAAAATGGGAGCTTTATAGTGGAACTTCTATTTTCTGACATTTTATAATTGTCTGTTTTGGAATGCTAGCCCTAACACGATCTAATGACATTTTTGCCCCAAGTACTGTGAGTACAGTAGTATTTTGCTTCAATATTTATTAATCTGGATTTATTGTTTTGGTTTGATTTAATTTTGGGTTTTTTGAGCATACCTCAGGATTCATCTTTTTTTTTTTTTAGTCATATTACACATCTCAATCTATGATTTGTTCTCAATTAAATTTGATATAGCCATTCCATTTGCCACCACTACGATCTTTCACAGTGCCAATTAACCTATTTACAATTTGTGACTTTGTAGCTCTGTCATTATTTTTTTAAAAAGTGAACTTCTGGACTTCTTGTATGATATCTAATTTTGCATTTGTGTGTGAAACTACATTTTAAATTACATTTTAAAATTTTACCACATGTAAATTCCTTGTTAATTTAATCCTACCTGACAACATACACTGTTCCATAAATACTTAGAATGAGTTTGGCTTACACTTTATTGGATTTCTGTGTCTTTGACTTGAGCTTTCCTTGCAGTTAAAAGCAATTCTCCCACTGAATCTGGGATCACCTCCAGTTGTTTTGATCGATATCTTGCCACTGGACCCAGATGACTCTGGAGGAGAGAGTGAGGCTGGTGCATTTGCACAGCCCTCCCTCACTTAAATCTAAAGTGGAAATTAGGCTAAATATGTATTTATAATTTAGAAATCTAGTTGTTTTGCCTTTTTAATTTGATCTGTGCCCTCTGTCCCCCAGACCCAGTATTTGTGGGGAACCTAGGGTTGTAAATAGTTTTATAAGATTCCTTGATCCACTAGAATCTCAGTGACTTTTCTAGGTCAGATTTCCTAGTTCTAGTATCTGTTAGAACAGAAAATATCTTCACAGAAGTATTATGGTCATCTTCCCTTTAGAAAATGTTATTAAGTTGAGGCATGTGTACAGTGATGTGAAAGACAGATAATAGTTTATAGTACTTTAAGATTTGTAAACGCAATATATGAACTCATTTGATCAAGTGTCTGGAAACAAATTACACAGAAATGGGTATGAATAGTAATTGTCAAGTGTTTTCTTTTGTTAGAGGAACAGCCAGTTTTCACTAGACAAGACAGCAACCGTAGTGAAAAAGAAACCCCACAGGTGGCTCATGAAATAGAACCAGATTCAGGGTCTCAGCCTCGACCTGCTGTTTCATCAGGCTATTCCAAACAGTTTCAGAAGTCTCTGCCACCACGGTTCCAAAGACAGCAGGTGAGAAGAAAAATTATTTTGGGCAATTTTAAAGTCACATGTTTGGTAAACACCTACTTTTTGCAAAACATGGTGAGTAGTGGGTTGGGGTATAAAAATTTTAAATGTATAATTATGCCCGAATGTCTCATGTTGGGTAGCCTTTTGGAATAAGGGCTAGTCTTGGAGTCAGGAAGATCTGGATTCAAATGCTGCTTCTGACACACTTACCTTTGTAACCATTGGCTACTAGTCATTTAACTTCTGGCTACTACAGACTGCTCTCTATGCATTATAGATGAGGTGCCTGTCTCCAGTGGAATATCCACACTAGTTATTTCCCAGATCAATAAATTTACGTCTGTCCCTTCCCACCATATGTCTGTATGTGTATGAATATATATTTTATGTGTAAAATTCTGTAACATATATTTATCAATTTTTGTGGCGAGAGATCCAGTAGATTGTACTTGATTCTGAAAGCTACAGTACCTTCTTAATTGAAGACTTGCATTTTGATAACTGAGTAACTTCTTTCTAGTCTCCCATCACCCTCCTTTCCTACCGTTTTATATAATTTTATTCCTGATTTCAGCACATACTGTCCATTTCTTGGTTTCCATTTCTTTTAATATTGCATGTGGTACAACCTGTTTTTTATTAGTAATGTTTTCAAGTTCCACATGAGAATGCATTGTCATTTCCATATGAAAAGAAATAGATGATTTCTAAGGTTGGTGCAGCCTCTGTTCAAAGGTTCTGACTCACCACATCCTGTTGTGTGTCACTCTGGAGAAGTGACTTAAAATTTTTGAGCCTTAGTTTTCTTTTTTAAATAGTCACAATATTTGTACTACCTCTTTCATAGGGATGTTGTGACAAAAGGGCCTTTGTATATCTCAGAGCAACTCCTTACTATCTCTTATCCCCACTCTCGCCCCGCCCCCCCCAAGCTGTTGCCAAAACCTGTCTTTTCCCTTTTTCAGTATCTCTTCAATATGTCCCCTTCTCTCCTGATAATGCCACCGTCACAGTACAGGTTATAATTTCCTCATGCCAGAACTATTACAGTAGCCTGATGATGGATCCATTCCAATCCATTTTTCATTCAGCCACTGAAGTGATTTTCCTAAAGCACTGGTCTGACCATTGTTATCTCTCTACGTGGTAAATACCAGTGGTTGCAGGATCATATACAAAATCCTCTGGCACTTGGAACCTTTCATAACCTCCCCAAAAAACACACACACACACACACACACACACACACCCCCACACACCCCTCTTACATACCTTACCAGCCTATTAACTATACGTTCCATCTCCAGCTGTTCTCCATGGCTCGAATGCTCTCCCTCCTCATCTGTTATTTTTCCTTTTAAGTCCCAACTAAATTCTCACCTTCTACAGGAAGCTTTTCCACGTCACTCTTATTCCAGTACCTTGCCTCTGTCCACATAGTTGTTTGCATGTGGTCTTCCCTGTTAAATCATGAGCTTATTGAGGGTAAAGACTGTCTTTTATTTTTCTTTGCATTCCTAGCTTAGCACAGTGCCTGGCAAATACTGGACATTTAATAAATACTTATGGAATTATTCATCTTTAACAGTCTGTGAAATGTGTTGTAAAAGGTTAAAAATTTAGTTAAGTCTTATATTCAGGTTAATTAGCCCTATAATTGAATTCATAATTTTTCATTACAAATTTAAATTTGAAAGGCTGACTTATTCCCACTCATTTGTGTTGATCTTGCATTGCTTTTTAGGAACAAATGAAACAACAACAGTGGCAACAGCAGCAACAAGGTGTCCTTCCACCGTCGGCTCCTTCTCAGCCTTCCAGTGGTGCTGTCCCTCCTCCTCCGCATAGAACTCTTTACCAGCCCATGCAACCTCATCCTCAACATTTAGCTTCCATGGGTTTTGATCCACGTTGGCTTATGGTACAATCTTATATGGATCCCCGAATGATGTCAGGAAGGCCTGCTATGGATATTCCACCTATACATCCTGGTATGTTGAAGTTGTCATTGTTATAAACTAATGTTTCAATTCATTTTTCCCAAATTGATCTTTTAGTTCTTCAGCGTCTGCTTTGTGTTCCTTGATTGACTTTTGCCAGAGACTAGCTAAAGAGGAGAACATAATGGAGTAGTGTTACTTCATTTCACTTTAAATACAGATTATTAAATTCTATCACCGCCTTACCTTACAGTTTTTCATCCTGCACGGGAGAGGGAATAGTTGCTGGGGGTAAGGAGAGTAAGGAAGAAGAACCTTAAAACCCACCACTGATACTTTATAGGGCTAAGAATGTTTTGCACATCTGTAGAGACTTTTCTCATTTATAAATTCCCATGAATATGGTGGCAGTCAGTATGGTAACTTAAATATTATCTACATTTTACAAGAGAAGGGAATGAGCATTAAGAACCTACAATATGCTAGGCACTTTGGAAATATTGTCCTGTTTGATACTCATAATAACCCTGGGAGTTAGGTGCTCTAATTATCCCCATTGCGCAGTTGAGGAAACTACAGGAGCCAGAGGTTAAGTTGACTTGCCCAGGTCTCACAGCTACTAAAGGTCTAAGGATGGATTTGAACTCATATCTTCCCATCTCCAGGCCTCAGGCTCTATTCACTGTACCATCTGGTTGTCTCTGTTCCTTAAACTGTTATCCTGTCTCAAAGTTTAATCATGCTTTCATTTAACCCTTTTCATGAAACTTTCCCATAATCTAGCACTCTAGTTCTTTTCCTTTTGTTTTACCCCTCTCAGGCTTACAAGTTCCTTGTGGACAGAAAGTATGACATGTCTTTATATTGCTTTTAGCATCTACCACAATGCTTTGCATGTTAAGTAAAATTTTTTTATTTTCTATATTTCTGTACTTTTATCTTTAGAAATGTACTCATTTCTCATAAAAGAAAATTCACACCAACCCCAAATATACAATTACAGCATTCTGTTATCTCTGCTTTTGTACTGTTTACTTGTGATTATTATTTAGCTTAGTTTCACATTTCGTTTGTTTCTGAACTCTTATGATAGGAATGATTCCTCCTAAGCCCCTAATGAGAAGAGACCAAATAGAAGGTTCTACAACTAGTTCTGAATCATTTGAACATATTGCTCGATCAGCAAGAGACCATGCTGTTTCCCTCACTGAGCCTCGTATGATGTGGGGATCAGACCCCTATCCCCAAGTAGAACCTCAGCAGGCAAGTTCTCCCCCCAAGTTGACTGAAGAACCCAAGGACCTAAGGTAATCATTGTGTTACACAATCATAAGTCAAAACAAAAAATAGTCTGTTTCCTCTGTGTATGTGTATTGGTATAGTCTTTCTTTTTTTTTTAAACAATTTATTAATTTTTAGTTTTCAGCATTCACTTGTGTAAGATTTTGAGTTTCAAATTTTCTTTCCCTCCCCAAGACGGCATGCAGTCTGATAGAGGCTCTACTTATACATTCATATTAAGCATATTTTCGCATTAGTCATGATGTAAAGAAGAATTAGAACCATTGGGAGGAACCATGAGAAAGAAAAATCAAACCAAAACAACAACAAAAAAAGGAGAGTAAATAGTACGCTTCCATCTGCATTCAGATTCCATAGTTTTTTCTCTAGATGTGGATAGCTTTTTCTATCGTGAGTCTTTTGTAGTTGTCTTAAATCCTTGCATTGCTGAGAAGAACTAAGTCTATCAAAGTCAGTCACAGTGTGGCTGTTACTGTGTACAATGTTCTCCTGGTTCTGGTCACTTAACTCAGCATCAGTTCATATAAGTCTTTCCAGGTTTTTCAGAAGTTAGCCTGCTCATCATTTCTTATATCACAGTAGTATTCAATTACATTTATATACCACAGCTTGTTTAACCATTCCCCAATTGATGGGCATGCCATCAATTTCCAATTCTTGGCCACCACAAAAAGAGCTGTTGTGAATATTTTTGTACATGTGAGTCCTTTTCCCATTTTTATGATCTCTTTGGGATACAGAGCTAGAAGTGGTATTGCTGAATCAAAGGGTATGCACGTTTTTATAGCCCTTTGGACATAGTTCCAAATTGTTCTCCAGAATGGTTGGATCAGTTCACAACTCCACCAGCAATGCATTAGTGTTCCAATTTCTCCACATCTTCTAAAACATTTATTATTGTCCTGTTTCATCATATTAGCCAGTCTGATAAATGTGATATACCTCAGAGTCATTTTGATTTGCATTTCTCTAAATCAGTAGTGATTTAGAGCATTTTTTCATATGATTATAGATAGCTTTAATTTCTTCATCTGAAAACTGCCTGTTCATATCCTTTGACCACTTACCAATTGGGGAATGACTCGTATTCTTATAAATTTGACTCAGTACTCTATATATTTTAGAAATGAGACCTTTGGCAGAGACACTGGTTGTAAAAATTGTTTCCCAGCTTTTGCTTCCCTTCTAGTCTTGGTTGCATTGGCTTTGTCTGTGCAAAAGCTTTTCAATTTAATATAATCAAAGTAATCCATTTTGCATTTCATAATGTTTTCTATCTCATGTTTGGCCATAGATTCTGAAGGTAAACTATTCCTTGCTCTCCTAGTTTGCTGATAGTATCCATCTTTGTATCTAAATCATGTACCCATTTTGATTTTTATCTTGGTATAGGGTATAAGGTGTTGGTCTGTGCCTAGTTTCTGCCGTACTATTTTCCAGTTTTTGTTAAATAATGAGTTCTTGTCTCAGAAACGGGAGTCCGTTTTATGGGAGAGTGCATCACATTCACATTCACAGTTATGGTTACTATCTGTGTCTTTGTCTCCATCCTAGGCCCGCCCCCCAATGCTTTTCTTTCTCCTTTCTGTGTTTCCCTCCTCACTAGTGTTTTGCTTTTGACCATCACCTTCCTCAGTCCCCCCTCCCTTCTCTTAGCCCCCTCCCTTTTCTTCCCCTTTCCCCTTACCCTTATTAATAATGTTTTTTTTTTCTGTCCTGTTTACCTTTTTATGCCTCTCTTGAGTCTTGTATTTGAAGATCAAATATTCTGTTATTTTCTGGTATTTTCATCAGGAAGGTTTGGAAGTCCCCTATTTCATTAAATGTCCATCTCCTCCCCTGAAAGATTATGATCAGTTTCGCTAGGTAGTTGATCCTTGGTTGTAATCCAAACTCCTTTTCCTTAGGGAATATCTTATTCCACACCCTGCGATCTTTTAACATAGAAGATACAAGGTCCTGCGTAATCCTGACTGTGGTTCCATGATTTTTAAATTGTTTCTTTTTGGCTGCTTGCAGTATTTTCTCTTTGACCTTGTAATTTTGGAATTTGGCTACAATATTCCTTGGCGATTTCAATTTGAGATCTCTTTCAGGAGGTGATTGGTGAATTCTTTTGATGACTATTTTACCCTCTGGTTCTAGGATCTCAGGGCAGTTTTCCTTGATGATTTCCTAAAAGAGGCTTTTTTTTCCTATCATGGTTTTCAGGTAGACCAATAATTTTTTAAATTTTCTCTCCTGGAGCTGTTTCCCAGGTTGTTTTATCAGATCTGTTTTACCAATGAGGTATTTTATGTTTTCTTCTATTTCCTTTTTCATTCTTTCTGTTTGACTGATTCTCACTCTCATAGTCATTAGCTTCCACTTGCACAATTCTAATTTCTAACAAATTGTTTTCTTCTATTAGATTTTGTGCCTCCTTTTCCATTTGGCCTGTTTTACTTTTTAAGGTATTCTCCTTAGTGAGTTTTTGTGCCTCCTTTTGCAGTTGGCCAATTCTGCTTTTTAAGGAATTGTTTTCTTCCATGTACCTTTTTTCCATTTGGCCAGTTGTATTTTTTAAGGACTCGTTTTCTACAGTTAATTTTTGTCCTTTTCCAAGCTATTAACTCTTGTACTCACTTCTTTTCCCAGCTTTTTTTCTACCTCTCTTATTTGACTTTTAAAATCCTTCTTGAGCTTTTCCAAGAAGTTTTTTTTGGGCTGGAGACCAGTTCATATTCCCCTTTGAGGTTTCAAATGTGGATATATTGACAGTGTTGTCCTCTTCTGAATTTGTGCCTTGATCTTCCCTGTCCCCATAATAAAAATCTGTGGTCATTGTCCGTTTCTTTTTGCTCATGGTGTTTGCTTATTTCCTGATGGGGAGCAGAGGGCACTGACCCAAGCTTCTTGTGCTGGGAGCCAGGGATCCGGTCACTGGCTTTGTGTACTGGAGCCTCAGGTGCTGGCAGTTGGAGGCTCTAGGATTCTGGCAGCTCATCTGGTGTTGGGCTGGAATCAGCAGCACTGGAGCTCTCGGGGTGAGGCGTCTGGCCCCTAGGGGATGCCTCCTTGCACGGGGCTGGTTCGCTGCTGGCAAATGTCTCTCAGCCTGGAGCTTTATCTCTTGGAGTTGCACTTCCCCGAGTTTTGCTGAGGCCCTGGGAGACTTGGCTGCCAGAGAATGCCTTCGCATGTGGTAGTTTTCCAAGCAGGTGTCCACAGATTCCCCTGGCCATACTCAGGCACTAGGGGGTCCTTGTGTTGGTGCTTGCTTGCTATACCACCCTGGGGTTGGGTTCAGGATCTCCCCCTGGTATGCTGAGGAGGGGCTTTCCACTGACTTGCTGGGATGCCTCCTGTTCTGTTCTGCTCCCTTTTTAGAATTCTTCCATTCAAAATGCTAATTTCTGAAGTTTTAAAATAATTTACAACTAGCTGCTTGTAATTTATATTTCTATAACGAGGATTGGGAATCTTGTCTTTTGATGATAAATCGTTATTTTTTGTAATTCAGTGGTGTTGAAGAGAAAACCTATTTAAGGAATACTTTCTCAATAATTTTTACCTCTTTTTAACATAGGCCTGAAGCCCCATTGGAACAAGAATTAATGGCTGCTTCCTACCCAGTTGAACATACTCAGTTGGACACTCATCCCAAGGCAGAATTTTTCAGAGATACTGGTGAGGCAGAGGTACAGAAATTGCCAAACAAGTCTTTGGAAGATACCAGACCTCCTCCCAGTGACACAAGTAGTCAAGCAACTTGTTTTGAACTAGCTGATCAGAATGTTGTTCCCGCCTCTCAGGATGATCAGAGTCCAGTTGGAGAAAGTCAGTCGGTCAGGAAACGCAGTGTGTCCCACGGATCCAATCATTCTCAAAAACCAGAGGAGCCAAGGAATGACGCACCTGCAAACATTCCTAAAATAACTAACAGGTGCACAGATACAAAAGAACCCTCAGAACGGCTCGAAGATAAGCCGAAAAAGGAAGGTTTTATAAGGCCTTCTGAAGGACCAAAACTTGAAAAGTTGTACAAATCTAAGTCAGAAACACGATGGGGTCCAAGGCCTGGCTCTAGTAGAAGGGATGAAGGTGGTGACAGACCTGTGAGAAGATCAGGACCTATTAAAAAACCAGTACTTCGAGATATGAAAGAAGAGCGGGAACAGAGAAAGGAGAAAGAGGGTGAAAAGGTAGAAAAACCAACAGAGAAAGTTGTAAAACCTGAAAAGCCTGAAAAGAAGGATCCTCCTCCACCTCCTGCAGCTCAGGTTCAACCACAACCACTTCCACCACCTCCCCAACCAGAGCCAGAGAAGCCTTCTGCTGAGACTTCATCTTTGGCTAAAAAGCTGTCCCAAGATACTGTGAAGCCATCAGAAACTGTAGATAATGTTCACATAGAACCTGCCATTAAAACATCAAATCAACAGACTGCTCCTCTTCTTGTAACCAAGGAAGAAAAACAACCTGAAAGAGTTATTGGCAAAGAACAGGGAGTAGAAAGACCACGAATAGATTCACGACCAATGAAAAAAGAACCAACATTACCCCCTCGAACTTACTGGAAGGAGGCTAGAGATAGAGATTGGTTCCCAGATCAAGGCTATAGAGGTCGAGGACGTGGGGAATATTACTCCAGGGGTCGAAGCTATAGAGGTTCTTACGGTGGACGTGGTCGAGGGGGCCGAGGACACAGTAGAGATTATCCTCATTACAGAGAGACAAAGCCAAGAATAGAGCATGCACCTTCTGGATCTCTGAGGCAGCGAGAAGAAAGTGAAACTCGAAGTGAAAGCTCTGATTTTGAAATAGTGCCCAAACGCAGAAGGCAGCGGGGTTCAGAAACTGACTCAGATAGTGAAGTTCATGAAAGTGCCAGTGACACTCTTCCCTCGGACAAAGATAGTTTAAACAAAGGCAAGCATCCTAAAAGGGAGGAACGCCCTGAAAACAAAAAACCTCTGAAGCCTCTGCTTTCTTTCAAACCTGAAAATAATGTCCGAGTAGATAACAACAGACCACTGGAAAAATTATATGTAAGGGATGATGAGAATAAGACCAAACCTGGCTTCCTTCCTAAAGGAGAACCTACTAGAAGAGGCAGGGGGGGAATGTTCAGACGTGGTGGAAGGGATCCTGGAGGCCGTCCACCACGTCCTTCCACATTACGAAGGCCAACATATCGTGACAATCACTGGAATCCACGACAAGCAGAAGCCCCCAAACCAGATGATGGAGAGCCACCAAGAAGGCATGAGCAGTTTATACCTATACCAGCAGATAAAAGACCCCCAAAATTTGAACGGGGGAAGTTTGATCCAACCAGAGAGAGGCCTCGAAGGCAACGGCCTGCACGACCACCGAGGCAGGATAAACCTCCTCGATTTAGACGGCTAAAGGAGAGGGAAGCTGCTTCAAAAATCAGTGATGTGGCAGCCACTTCTGTAACAAATGGCACAATTAATAATGTGGTTCAGGAACCAGTTAGTACTACTGGGGATATTTCTGGGAATAAGACACCAGATTTATCCAATCAGAACTCTTCAGATCAAGCAAATGAAGAATGGGAAACAGCTTCTGAAAGTAGTGATTTCAATGAGAGACGGGAGCGTGATGAAAAGAAAACAGCGGATTTGAGTGCACAGGCAGCTGCAAAGGCAGGAGAGAATGTATTGCCTCCAAAAAGGGAAATAGCAAAAAGAAGCTTTTCCAGTCAGCGACCTGGAATAGATCGCCAGAATAGGCGAGGCAACAGTGGTCCACCTAAATCAGGAAGGAATTTCTCTGGTCCTAGGAATGAAAGAAGAAGTGGTCCTTCATCAAAAAGTGGGAAAAGAGGGTGAGTATAAGAGAGAGAGAGTGAGTTGATTTTCCTTTGTAAGGGGCCAGGAGGGAACTGGTGAAAGAATTAGATTTATGAATTATGCTAGTCATACTTAATGTTAGTTGCTTTGGAAGTTCCCAAAATGATGTAAAAAATATGATCCCTATTCTCAAGGGAGAGAGATATCAGGTTAATTCATGAAAATGCGGTGAATAATCTAAATTTGTTAATATCTAATTTCGTTGCTGTAGAAATTCAGAGGAAAAGGAGATCAGTGAGACCTCAAGTAGTCAGGGAATGGTACATGTAAAAATGATTGTCATTCAATTAACCAACCAGTCTTTAATAATCGTGTATGCTAGTAAAGTGGTTTAAAAAAAAATAGCAGTTCCTGACCTTGGTAGCTGTGTGTAATAGTAGAGTCTTTTACATCTATAGTGTGTTACTCCTATTCAAATGTTGACCTTGAGAAAATTAATTACAATAAAACTGTCAAGAAGAGTGGTTAAGCACATAGATAGCTTTAGAACTGTTACATGTACAACCTTTAACTCTTTAGTGGTGCTAAATTTTGTATCTTATGTAAGATAATTAAAAATCTCAGTGACATTAGGTGTTTAATCCATCTGGTCATTTTGAACTTGAGAAAAATCTGAATTTGGGAATTTTTCTTGGCAGCAATACATTTAATGACATTAATAAACATTAATATCCTGATCCAGTGAAATTTATTACCATATTTACTTGTCTATAGCCTGCTTTGTTTTGTCCAGGCTAATTTTTTGAGACACAAAGCCCATAGGCTAATTTGAATTGTATTTCTCAGACTACATTATTTGCATTGTGCTTGAGTGTATATTATTCAGGACTGTAAATGAAATTATTTTATTTTAATCTATATTATTGAGCTTTATAAAATATATTTCAGCATGTTCACATTTCTCTATCTTAACCTGCAAACAAATTGGGAAAAAATAATGAACAAATTGGCAAGAGGCTCTGAATGGGTGGTCTTAATTTTAAAAGGCATCTTTTGAAGGCTTGTATTTATTAATGCTAAAAGGATCTGTGAGTTGAATTTAGGGGACAAACGGTTCCCAGTTTTTCTGGGTAGAAGGAATGCTTTCAGTATATTACCCCTGCCTCTCACATCCTGAGTTCTGAATGGTTTGCCTTCTTAAAACATTCCAGGGCCAGTGATTCAGTGTACTCAGTTTTACCTGCCATATTTTCAGAAACACATTAAGGTTCATTTCCAGGTTAAAGAAATGGGCTGCAGGCAATTGTAGTAATAATTATATATTGCTTCAAAAGAGAAAAATGAGGCATAGGAAGATTAGGACTCAGAACTCATGAGTCCATCACTTTTCCCACCACGCTGTAGTCTTCTTATAGGGGTTTTTAAATAAATTCTGATACTAAGGAATAAATTAGGGGATACACAGTTTTTCTGTTTTATATAGAATACTGAAAAAGAAAAGACACTTCCACAGCATTTCTAAGGACTAGCTGTTTTAGAAACAGAAATAATATTTGTTCAACTTGGAGCAAAATATTTTAAAAGCAGATTTGCCTAAAATAACCATAGTAGTGGTCACCTAAGAAGTAGCAGCATGAATTATAGACTTAAAATTACAAGAGATCACCAGGTACCACCTCATCATGTCACTGATAGGAAACTGAAACACAGATATTAAAATAGATTGCCCAGGGTCACACAGCTAGTAAGTGTCTGAGATAGAATTTGAATCTAGATCTTTCTGATTCCTGGGCATAGTACTCTTACTCACTAACCATGCCACTTGCCTGGAAAGCTGACCTTGGAATCCAAGTAATGTTTCTGACGCATACTAGCTATGTGAGTTTGGAAGGATAACTTAAACTTTCCGTGCTTCTAGGCAATTTTTGAAGACAGTTGCTGAGAGCTGAATCACTGGAGGAAATTTGACACTTGGTAGCTCCCTATATTAATCAAATCACAGATCTCAGGTATTCTACCCTATCTCCAGTTTTTTAATCTAAGGAAATTAAAGCTGCAACCTTAGTTACAAACCTTAATTTTACAGGTGAAGGAACTATGGACACTTTAAAAGGTTGTAGATTTTCAGAGTGCTAGTTTGTAATGACTAAAACTAACCTAGATTTTTTTGCTTGCCAGTTAAATATTCTTTACATACAAAAATTAAACTTTTCAAATACTAATATTCTCTTTTATATGGGATAGCATATAATTTACTTTTAGCTTAATGGAAATACAGATGTATTTATGTAAAATATTTTCTTTTTCAGTCAATTTGAAGACCAGTCTATAGGTATGGCTGGTGTTGATCCTGCCAATGGCAGCTCAGTGCATCATCAGGATGGAGGTCCAAATGGCACTGGGCAAAAGAACTCCAAAGATGCCAGTGGGAAAAAAAGAGAAGAACCTAAACCAGGTCCTAAGAAACCCAAAGAGAAAGTGGATGCCCTATCCCAGTTTGACCTCAACAACTATGCAAGTATGTCTGCAACTTTAAAAAAATTATACATCCATAGAAAAGAGTAGTAATTTCAACAGTTACCAAGGCAATAACAATAAGTACCTATCACACTTAGCTTTGATGATATACTGGTTTTTATTGCCTTCTACAAGTGTGAGGAAACTTATGGTTACAGGTCAGGTAGGAACTTCACTTCTCGACCTCCATATGAATCAAATGATACCTTGCTACCAGCAAAATTTAAGTTTCAATTAAAAATTAAATTAATGCGATTTCATTTTAATATTTTTAAGTTTAGGGAAAGCAGATGAGTAATTATTAAAGCCCTGGTATAGTGGAAAGTTATTGTCATACAGATATACAAGTAGACAGTCCCTGTTCTCAAGGAGCAATTCTAATAAGGGAAGATAGCACATAAAGGGGGTGGGGGAGGCAGATAGAGAGAGAGCACTAGTAGAGAAAGTCTGGAGTACAGCATAGAGACGAATGAAGACATGGCTGGCCTAGGCTCACTTCTTAGATTATGGTTCTTCTGGTAAGAGGTATCCAATCAGAAGGAGAGGCCTCTGAGGACTGAGATTGCTTTATTTCCAACCTACTCGAATTCCATGGCTGGAGGGTGCTTCCAGGATAAAGAAGTTTCTGAGGTGTGGTAGAGAAAATCTGGAGTGCAGGCTAGACCGGAATGCAATAGGAAATTAGGATCTGATAAAGGAGTTTCGTTGTTGAAATGCTGTACTTTGTGTGTGGATGATGACAAGATCAGAGATGCAGTTATCCCCATATATGGCGTGGAAGGTTCACAAAGCAATAGAGAAATTCAGTGAGTACATTATCTTTAACTGAAGAAAACGTTAGGGGAGTTAACCAGCAAGGTCATCCTATGAGGGCCCATTCCTCCGAAAACAAATAATCTTTCAAAATTTCTGTAATGAACTTTTCCTTATCATTGGAACCGTCACACTTGATAGAAATGACACTAAACACCAAGACAGAAAGAACAACTGGACCTAGAGTAAATGTATATAGAACAGGTAAGCATCAAGTGTGAGTAGTTATAAGAGTATTGAGAGAGTGAATAATAACTTTCCACCCAAAGGCAATTGAGAGAATTTCAATTACCATTTTCTATGACTGCTTTCTAAGCTCTTTAAGAACTTCAACAATACACACACGTAATGAAGACATCCTCAGTGAAGATGTTGGTAGTTTTTCACAAAAGGGCATTCTGTAGCAAACCACATCTTGTTACGCAGTGGAGTGAAAGGTGTGGAAAGGTCTTGTTGTACCTGATGTTTTGTTGTTGTTTTTAAATCTATAGAGGAAAATAAGTACTAACTATAGAGGAAAGACTAATCTATAGAGGAAAATAAATACTAACTATAAGATTCTTTTAAAATGGAATAGATAGGGGCAGCTAGGTGGCGCAGTGGATAGAGCACTGGCCCTGAAGTCAGGAGGACCTGAGTTCAAATGCGGCCTCAGACCAAACACTTGACATGTACTCGCTGTGTGACCTCGGGCAAGTCACTTAACCCCGACTGCCTCACTAAGAATAAAATAAAATAAAATAAAATGGAATAGATGATGACTTTGAAACTAATCATAATTATCAAAACTAGAGTGTGCCTCCGTGCAGCCTGAACCAGTTTTAGCTGCTGTTTTTTTGTAGTGGGTAATAATCTCTTAGAGGAAATTATTTCCCCGTAGACTTAAAACATTGTTCATTGAAGACTTTCATAAGGTTATTAATAGACTTTTAAGGGAAATAATGCTTTGGAAACATCTTTGGTCATTTGTAGTGATAATACATATAGGTTGCCACATATTCCTCCCAAACTTTCTTTGGACCCACAATCAGAAGAATATAGATTATTCAACTAACCTATTATATTTTCATGCTAAGATGATTCCCATGTTAAATTGATCTTTTTAAGTCACTATTTGGTTAAAAAGTCTTATCTTCCTTATACAATATTTACAAATACTGTCTTTTTATATGCACTCATAATTTTGAAGTTCCCTCCATTTACATAGTTCTGAACCCACTCTTTACTACCCATTCTGTATGCCTGTCCTCCATGCTCTCTCACAAGCTTACCACAGGGGGTCCACCCATTGTGCTCGAGACCTTCTTCAATCTCTTTTGATCCATTTGGTCTTTCCTTTGTGGATGGTCAGATCAAAGCCTTTGAATGATCTCTTCCATCAGTACTTGACTTCATCTGGAGAACTTTCCTATCCACAGTAAATCCTCTTCAGTTTCATCTCTAAGCTGAAGGCAGGCATCTTTGGAGGATAGACTTCTCCCTTTTTCTGTCTTATTTCAGTGATTTTAAGTTTGGGTGGAAAGAAGAGATAATCTCCTGTAAGGCAGCATTTTGTTCAATCAGCAGACATTTGTTAAGCACTTACTATTTGCTGGGCACTGTGCAAAGCCCAAATACAAGGAAGAAGAATGGTATTGACTGCCCTTGAGGCAACTTTGTTGTCCAGTGGATTGAGTACTAGGCCTAGAGTCAAGAAGATCTAGATTAAAATCCAGCCTGGACATTTAACTGCTGTGACACTGGGCAAGTCACTTAGCCCCTGTCTTCCTCAATTTCCTCATATGTAAAATGGGACTGATAATAGCACCTACCTTCCAGGGTTATTGTGAGGATCAAAAGAGATAATAATTATAAAATGTTTAGCACAGTGCCTGGCACACATAGTTGGCACTTAATAAATGCTTGTTCCCTCCCTCAGGAGTTTACATTCTAATGGTATATGACTACACAGAAAAGGAAGCTGAAGAGCTAGGGGTCTAGATAAAACAAAGGTTCTGGTAGGAGCCTTCCAATCAGAAGGAGAGGCTAGAAAAGGGAGGATCTTTTTAATTTGTGATTTTTCAGGGCTGGAGTGAGACTCCAGGATGAAGAGGTTTTTAAGGTATGGTAGAGGAAACCCACAGTGCAACCTGTAGACACATCATTCTACTAAATTAAATGCTTTTTCATAACCAACCAAGACATGCAGTGAGATCTTCTGTTCTCTTACATGTATCTAGCAGTTGTGAAAGAGTAAAAACATGTGTGGTCCATTGTTAGGAAAGGTGACTCATTCCTTACTTTATTTATCAGTACCTCAGCACCCTCACATTGTTACTTCTAGCATAACTCCTTCCTATATTTATTGTTGTTCAGTCATGTTCAGATCTTCGTGACCCCATTTGGGTTTTTCTTGGCCTTCTTCAGCTCATTTTACAGATCAGGAACTGAGGCAAACAGGGTTAAGTGACCTGCCCAGGGTCACGCAGCTAGTAAGCGTCTGAGGCCTTTCTGTAGACACAGGGTCTGATCTAGCTGATTGTTCCATCTTTGTTCTCAGTGATCCTATCATGCACATTCTTAAGTTGTGATGATATGGGTGTGTCACTGAGGTAGAGGGGAGATCTTTTTCATTTTTCTTTTGTTCCTTTTCCTTCTTTATTTATCCTTAAAGTGCCCTTGGGATGACTTTGCTTAGTTGGATGTCTTGCATTTTCCTTAAGTCTTGAAAAGTATTAAAGTGACCCATCCAAAGCAGATATTTTGCTTTTTTTGTCCTTGGTTTGAAATTCTTACAGATATATTAAACTGTTTAAAGAATAATCTGTGGTAGAGGGAATTTCCTCATTGGGTGTTGCCTATACCAATGAAATTACACATCTGATCCAAAAACAACTTTGATCTTGTGGTATACTAACCAATGACTGTTTCACCATGGGAATTAGGGGGAAGTAGGAAAGTGAGCATCAAAGCATGTTAGGTCTTTGGTCTTGCTTGAATGAAGAATTTTTTGGGTGTTTTTGGGTGTTTTTTGTTTGTTTTGTGAGGTAATTGGGATTAAGTGACCGTCCAGGGTCACATCTGTTGAATGGAGAATTCTTAAACACATAAGGTAAATCTAAAGCACTATCTTCTTTAAACTACAGGTGTTGTAATAATTGATGACCATCCCGAAGTGACTGTGGTTGAAGACCCCCAGTCAAATTTAAATGATGATGGTTTCACTGAAGTGGTTTCAAAAAAACAACAAAAACGTTTACAGGATGAAGAACGTAGAAAGAAGGAAGAACAAACTATACAGGTTTGAAACTTTAAAAAAATTTGGGATAAGAATTTTACCCGAAGTATCTTATAATTGTGTGCATCATGCTTGGTAAAAGACTCTATTGATGCAGAAAATAAAAGTTTATTGCAATTATATTCTCTCCAAGTATTAAGACTGGTTTGCTATTGTATTTTTAGCTCATAAAATAAACATATCAGAGATTAAATTGTAAATGGAATAGTAATAGCATGTTGAGTTTCAAGTACTAATAGGATTCCGATGGTTCCTTTTGGAGTTGTGCTTGGGAAGATTATGGAGGTTATCTCTGTAGTAATGGGGGCAGCAAATTTTTGTAGTCCAGTAAAAGATGCTTTGTAATAATGAGAACTTAAATAATCAAGATACTTGAATTTTTTTATAAAGACAAGGCCATTTTTTTTCTTTTTATCCCATCTTTTTTCCTTAACCCTAAAATGGAACCATTTTCGGAACATACTGTCTTTATTTGCTTATATTAAATATGTATTTCAGAAGGACAGGAGTGCTTTGTCTCTTGAATGGATAATTTGAATCATGTCTTGTTGACTGGTTAAGAGTGGTTGCCCATAACTACATTGTTAAAACTTCAAATTTTTTAAAGGTGTGGAACAAAAAATCTTCAAATGAAAAAGGAAGAAATCAGAATTCTAAGCTTCCTCCAAGATTTGCTAAAAAACAGCAACAGGCTACAGTCAGCCAGCAACCACAAACTGCAACCCCACCTCCAGTGCAGGGTCTGGCACAGGCTCAAGTCCCTGTTCAGGTTCAGCCACCACCAACAGCACAGACCCCTAACCAGTCACCACCATCAGTCCAGCCGCAAGTCCAAGCAGCAAATGGAACCAATGGCATAGACTATGTAGCAACGGGAAAGTCTCTCCAGCACGCACAGTCTCATGGGCCTCTAGGGGCAGAGTTATGGGAGAACAAAGTAGCCCCTACAGCTGTTCTCAGTGACATTTCTAAGAAGTGTAAGTTATGTCTCTGATTCTTAACTGTTTGTGGGTGGGCAGGACTGGAACACTATTTCCATATAGCAATGGTGATGGTTTTGGTTTTGGTTTCTTTATTTGGAAGGACCTTTTTGTTCTTTATTCCTTGTCCAGGATTATGTTGTTCTTCATTAGCTAAAGGGAAATCAGAAATACTTTTCCCAAGCCCAAAAGTGTATTAAATCATCATGTACCAACATCCTTTTTGATGTGAGTATGGTTTTAGGGACTGACATGCTTAAAATAATAATCTTTGTCCAGGTGTTAAGTTCTCTCTTGCAGCATTGTATAATAGTGAAACATGTAAATTCTTTTAATGAAGTGACCTTAAGAAAATAAATACCTATTAAAAGGTGATTTTGATTGTTGAAATTAAAATTCATACCTCCTGGCTTTTGATTTTCAGTGGGACCCATTAGTCCACCACAGCCACCTTCAGTCAGTGCATGGAATAAGCCTTTAACATCTTTTGGATCAACTTCATCACCAGAGGTAAAAATTATTTCAAACAATAAAATACCATGGCAGGTGTTACATACTTTAGTTGTGATCTACAGCTATTTTACCAGGTAGGAAATGATTTGTTCAGGTTAATAATTTAAATCATTCATGTGGATTCTAAGTCCAGTTTTCTTTTCAACACAGGTTGCTATGTAATCAGAATGTATACTTTTACCCAGAACAGTTGAATATGACTTCTTTAGTTAACAGAAATTGTTCTCTGATCTTAATTCTCACTCACACCAATGTGCTAGGGCGATCAATTGCTAAATCTTTCAACTTTCACAGTTCATACCCTAGTGCAAACCTTATCACCTCATCTATTTCAACAGCCTCTTCTTTGGTCTCCATTTCTCCTTTCTGCGGTCCATTCTTAACACATGGGATCATTATTCCTAAAGCACAAATCTAACCATGTCACTCTACTGCACAAGAAGCTTCAGTGGTTTTCCAGTGCCTTTAAAGAGAAACCTCTTTACTTGGCATTTTGAGCCTAGCACTTCCTCTTCTTCCCCACCCCCATAAACACACACACACACACACACACACACACACACACACAGAGCTTTCACTGTGTCTGTGTCTGTGCCATGGCATAGATTATCCCTTGATGTGGAAAATTCTTTCCCTGCTCACTTTTACGTGCCAACTCTTCCAAAAACTTTTCATGATTCCTCTAGTTGTTAGTGTGTCATCCCACTCCCATTATTTTGGCATGTATATATGTGGATGTATTTCCCAGTATAAGTTCCTTGAGGACAGAAACTATCTCTCTTTTGTAGTTTATATTCAGGGTTTGGCATATAATTGCTTGTTGATTGATTGGCAGCTTTGATAGCTTGTGTTTCTTTTTTTGGTTTGGGAGCTAATGTGTTTGTACTTTTTCCAGGGAATAAAGAATGGCCAAGAAAGTGGTGTTGAAATTGGAATTGAAACCATTCAGTTTGGTGCCCCAGCTTCAAATGGCAATGAAAATGAAGTTGTTCCAGTACTAACTGAAAAGCCTCCTGACAAATTACCTGAACCCAAAGAACAGCGGCAAAAGCAGCCGCGGGCAGGGCCAATCAAAGCCCAGAAGGTGAAAATGTCAATTCCCAATGCTATCGTTCATTTTATTGCCAAATTTTGGGAAGAATTAAAAACCTAGCCCTTCTTGGAGGTGAATGGAGGGTGGGCTTTAAATTATATGCTTGTTAGTATATTGAAAAGAAGCATTTTCATAAAGGCCTTTGAACAAAATATTTACTTGTCCCAAAAATGTTGAATTTAGCTTCCAGATTTGAGTCCAGTAGAGAACAAAGAACACAAACCTGGTCCCATTGGAAAAGAACGTTCTTTAAAAAATAGAAAAGTGAAGGATGTTCAACAGGCAGAACCTGAAGGACAGGAAAAATCCAACCCACCTTCAGTCAGAAATCCTGATGCTGTTACCACAAAGGAAACCAAAACAGTTACAGAAATGAGTTCTGAAATAGGCACAATGATCTCTGTTTCTGCCCCAGAATTTGGTGCTAATACAAAGGTAAGCAAAATACAGTATTTAGAAATTCAGTTGCAACATTTACCTGAAATAACACAGAAGTCACGAATACAACTAATTTCATTTTTAACTCATGATTTCCATGCTATCAGTCATTCGACAAATATGCAGCACCTAATATGTGCTAGGCACAGTGGAGATACATGTTAAATTTCCTGTTGCTATGTGATCTGTAATCAAGACTTAAACCTAAGCCTGTATTTACTTTTGCATAAAAATCTGAAAAGAGTATCTCTAATCTGTTTCATATTATTACTAGAAGTACATAACATATAAAGAGGAATGCAGGAGAAAGTGGTGGCATTTGATCTTAATGTACCTGATTATTTGTAGATGATCACTATGGGGACCTACAATTATTCTGTTTCATCAGCCATATAATTCTGCTCATGAAAGTGATTATGGTTAACACTGATGTCTAATGGATTGTATAAAAATGCATATTTATCTCAGCAACCTATAAATTTTGTCAGTTCTACTTGACAGGCTTTTAGCATGCTGTCAGTTCTTTTCAAAGTTGTCATTCTTTTCAAAATATTAGTTAGCTTATTCTGCCTTAGCAGTTACCATTATTCTACTACTAAAAAGAGTATTTTAGACCTTTTGGGTTTCTTGCTATATTTGCATACAGGAAATTGATATTACATTTTTTTTTAGAAGCTTTTTTAATTCGCCCTGGTGTTTCCAAAATTAACTTTAGTACTAGAACTAGGATATGTCTTTAGGAAAAGGCATAGTAATGTGGTGAGGTGTGGTTTTTTGTTTTGTTTTGTTTTGTTTTCAGAATATATTTTTTATTACTTATTCCTTCACAGGAGTCTGTAACAGACTACACTACACCTTCTTCTTCTCTACCTAACACTGTGGCTACTAGTAATACCAAGATGGAAGAGACATTGGTTACTAATGTAAGTAGTTAATTCTGTATATGGCAGCTTTGGAAACTGTCCTTATCACAGTGGACGATAGCTGGCTCTTTCTAAGGGAAGGGGGAAGGAATCCTGACATGTCTAGGATTATAGGTTTTCAGAAAAACTTTGCTATAATGTTGCTCTCCAGGTACTTGTTGAGTTACCAGATTAAAAGCAAAATAAGCAAATTTTCTTTTTTCTGATATTCCTAGTAATAAGCTCACTGTTAAGGTTCTAAGGTACACCTGCCTGCTTTACAAGTTAACCCCTGTAGTGGATATTAACATGGTCTCCATTGACAATCATGAAAGACAATCAGATGAAGGGTTTCTGTCAGATAAGCTGAATACTCAAATAGCTCTTCATCTCACATTTGAGTTTGTGGATCCTGTTCTTATTTTCATGAGTATTAGTTAGCGATCACGGAATTATCTGTCTGATTAAAGCTGAAAAAAGGTTATTAATTTCCAAGTATCATCTATTACTGGAATAACAAATCTCACTAATTTAAAGTAGTTGGAGGGAGGGGAGACCTTAATAGTAGTGGTAAGTCCCCACATTTTATATTCCTGTTGTGAAAGTCAAATGAGGTTGCCAGTTTGCATGTTACATTGAATATTTGATGAATTTATAGCATCTGTGAAAGTGCTCAAATCTTTAGAGTACTATATTCATAAAGAGTTATTAAAGGATCTCAGAATTAGGAGGGACCTGCAAAGCCATCTACTCCAACCTACACCCAAACATGCCCTCTTTATCTTATCCAATTCCCTCTTTATCACACCTAACCATGACAAGTCATCATAAAGTGTCTGCCTGACAACCTTCAGTAAGATAGAAATTCTTACATCTCAATTCATTTCTCCTTTAGAATAGTTCTTGTTGAAAGTTCAGCTTTCTTGAGCCTAAATCTGCCTGTTAACGTCCAGCCATTGCTCTAATTTTGTCCTCTGGCTGACAAGTAGTATCCCTCTCACCCTTCATCTTTTTCTGGGTTAAATAAATAATTCTGTTTCCTTCAACCAAGTATCATTTATTTTTTTCTAATCTTATTCTTATCTTTTTTTTCCTATTCTTAAAGCATCCTTGTCCCTTCTGTCTTCCTTCTGGTCTCATCTCCTGGCTTGTTAACTTCCTTGCTCTAAATATGGCAGCAAGAATGAAATGCAATACTTCAGAAACAGTCTGAATAGGGCAGAATCACCTCCCTTGTTTTGGACACACTGTTAACTTTTTGAGCTTACGATTCACTTAGCTCTCCCATATCTTTTCACAAAAGCTATTTGCTATCCATGCCTTCCCCAGCCTGCAGCCTGTTTTTCTGCCGGTGATTTTTGAACTAAATAGGTTCTGACATTTAATCCCTATTAAATTTCATTTTCTTAAATTTAGTCTGTCATTTTTGAATTAGATTATTACTAATAATAATCCAATACTTAGGAGAATATAATAAAACCGTAAAGAAATTGTCAAATAACTCATAATTCTGACTATTAAAACTCCATATATAAATTTGTTTTATTGTTTAAGATAATAATCCATAGTATTTTGGAATTGGAGGTACTTTAGAGATCATCTTGTTTAATTTCTTCCTTTTATAGATACGAAAATTTTACAGATTAGATCTGTAGGGTCTGACTTGCCCAGTGTAGATAGAAGGAAGGTTGAGTAAAATTATGAAGTGATTTGAATGCCAGGGAATTTGGGTATCTTTTGACAATTAATGTAGAGTTGTGAAACTATAGTATTTGGTCTAGAAACACACTTTTTGTGGCAGTGCTGGGACTCTAGAGCCTATATCTAATAATTGCCAGTCTACTACTCTAACACAACTTTTCCAATGAAAGTTGTATGAAGTGAGTATAAATTTACTGTACACGCTGTACGAGGGACTATGTGTGAGTGGCTATATTAGATAAAATTATTCATTTCAACACATAAATATTTAATGACTAAGAACTGTTAGAATTTGGAAATCGGGGAAATTTCTGATCTGGTTTAACTTCATTTTTGCTTTGCTTAAAGTAATAACAGCAACTGTATCAATGAAGATGAATTTTAGAACAGGAGTGGATCTTTAAGATCCAGTTTGGTCTTATCCCCACCCAAACCTTCCTTCAACTTCTCCCTCCTCTGTCTTAGGGTGACAAATGTATAGGGATTCTGTTTGCTTATCAATGTAAAGAAAGGTTTCATTGACCAACACAAACAAGTGGGGAGATAGGGAGAATGACATTTAAATATTGGTTGTTGGAATCCCCTAGATTCCATTCCTATTGTCCCTTTGAATCACTGCCCACGTTGGGTGTTATGCTCTGAAACTGATCAATGAATAAATTAAATTATTAAAAAGTAAATAGGTGTCATGGAGGACTGCCTGTAGTTTAAATTGGCCCCAGGCATGTAAAGTAATTTGAACTGGGCCAGCAAAATTGTTTGAATTTTGGTGCCTGCCTTATTCAAATATGAAATGTGTTTTAAGCTAAGAGAATTGTATTTTTATGAAGCTTTCTGTTAAACCTTCCTCTTCAAAAATGAGATATAGTTTGTGAAATTTTGAGGATATGGATGGTAGAACCTCAGGCTTCCTATTTTAATGGTGTCTACATTATTGCCATTTAGGAGAAGAAACTCAGAAACTGTGGTTGCTTGTTAAGCTTGCTTGTTAATGTAGGTTCCAAATTCTGTGTGAAAATGGCAAGCTCAGGTTTTTGGGAGTATTGTAAATGGTAACCAGGTCTAAATAATATGACAGGTTGTAAATTGACTTCAGGGGTTTTATTAAGGGCTTTTGACAATTATGAAGTTATGTTGGGATAAGTATTTTTTTGTGGGAACTTTGTGTTTTTTAATACCTTTTTTTTTTAATTGGTCTACTAGTGTTACTGCTTTTTGGTTCTCTTATTTGTAAGAGTTAGAGCAAGTCATCACAGAATTAAGGACTGTCACATTTTTAAATGTCAGAATTTTAGCATTGGTTTTTGTAGTGTTAAATGATCACCAGTGTTTCATATCAGTTGAAATGAAAGAATATACATGATATTTTGATGAAAGGATTTTGTTTCATGAAATTACTTCCGTATCTTCCTAGGTGGGCCATACATTAATATTTTGTTTCCTATATTTTGGAATATGATATCACAACCCTTTGTTATAGCATCCCCATCAGCCCAAATCACCAAAAAACAGAAAACAAAAGAGCATAGAGGAGGAAAGGGATGACAAAGGTAGATACGTGTCATTTTCTTATGCCTCCTATTGGGTCTCTTTATATTTCTCAGTATATAAAGAAAAGATTAAATATCATTTCTTATATCTAGACCCTTCTAATATTAGGGAAATATAATTAATTTCTGGTAGTGTGCTCAATTTCCACTACAACAAAACAATGTAAAGGAACATGGGGCAATCCTGTGAGTTTCACTTGTAATACAATTTGTTTCTGTCTTCGTGGCAACTTAATGCATATGTGTTTCTATCTACTGAAACTGCTTTTTGAAAGTAATTATAAAAAAATTGACTGCGAAAACATAACCAGAATTCAGTTTTTGCTATTTGTGATCCATAATTTTGGGCATGTTCACTTACATAGAAAATCCACTATATTATTTCAGGTAGCTAGGACATGAATTTTGGGGGAATTTTTTTTTTTTTAAGTGAATGTGGTATCTCTTTGGGGCTTAACTTCACATTGATTTTCTTATTAAAAGGCAGATAGTACTTAGTCTTCCACAGAGCTGACCAGGGTTGTGTGGAATACTTACGGATATGTAATGTTACACAAATTGGTCTTTTATAGCCAGGCCCTAAGAAAAGAACTTAAATCCTTAGCACCACTTGAGCTTTTTTCTTTAATGGGGCTTTTATGGTAGACTTAGTTAGATTGTGATGTATGTTGCCTGCCTTTTCAGGTGCCCCTGCCCAACACCCTTCCCCTCCCTAAGAGGGAGACTTTACAACAGAGCTCCAGCGTAAGTCCAGCTCCTCCCACTACTTTCAACCTCACCTTTAAGGTATGTACAATGTCCATCTAAGGGTCCTTATTTCTTGCATGCAGGGGGAAGGAAGTTCATGGTGATTCTCTTGGTGCATTTAGAGCTTTTTTGTTTGGTGTTCAAGAGTAATAAAGCAGAAGAAAGGAAAGGGGAAGAAGAGTCAGGCTTTGATTATTCTAGTGTCCATTACCACTTTTCCATTTGTCCTTATTTTCTGACTCAGGCTTTAGCTTCAGGACTGAAGGACTACATTTGTACCATATGTTGCTTGAGATAGATTCTTTTTTTAAAAAAAATTTTAAATAGAATTCATTAGGTATTTGCAACAGAAACGAATAGGGTTCCTTGGTGTTTTGCTCAGATGAGCAGTAATAAGGTTGCCTGTTACTAGTTGTCTTTCTGTGGTGTTATCATTGGTGTGCATTGTGTTTAAAAAATTTTTTGATCAGTTACCTTTTTTTTTTTTAAGATAATAAAAGCTCAATCTATATACTGTGTTCTATTTGGTTCAACTATAATTCTTTGAATAAGAATAGTCAGCCTAGAGAATGAAAGAAATAGTTGTGATGCCAATAGATTAGGGCTTGTTTTCAGTCCTTGTTTCTTAAAGTGATAGTGTTATGAATTAGAATAAAAACTTGTGGCAGTATGACTTGTTAATGCTTTTGGATGATTCGATTAATAAGAGGACATTAAAAACAGATTCTTACCATAGGATCAGCTTACAGAAAAACAAAGAGTGAAATGCTAGACTTTTTTCATGTTGTATTGTCTTCTAGGTTTTGGGTTTGTTTTTTTTAACTTCATGAGAAATTGTAGTATAATAATGCTTCCTAATGTTATTGATGGTTGACAGTGAACCTTTTGGTCTTTATTTTACTTTGAGAAAAGTCCGTGGTTAAGAAAGCTGTATGTAGATACAATGTATGTCATGAATAATAGACTGCTTTACTGGAGATAAATAGTACTTATTTATGAAACAATTATAATACTATCAAAGTTAATTTGCAGTTTTAATACTATACCAATCAAACTATTAAAAGGATACTTTATAGAACTTGATAAAATAATAGTAAAATTCTTTAGATTTCTAAAAATCTAGATTATCAAGTTATATAATGAAAAGACATAGGAAGGAGGGGGAATAGCACTTCCAAGTCTAAAGCTACGTTATAACATGGCAGTCATCAAAACCATCTGGTATTGGTTATAACATGCAGGGGTAGCAATGGAACAGACAGATGAGAGAATCAGAGGCAGTGGAACTCAGTAACCCAGTATTTCAATAAGCTGGAAAACATAAATTACTTAGGGAAGAATTCCCTTTTGATAAAAATTACTAGGAAAATTGGTGAACAATCAGGCAGAAAATTAGGCTTAGACCAACACCTTATTTTATATTCCGTAATGCATTCTAAATGGATGCAAGGACCTTAATATTTAATATGATTCCATAAAAAAATTAGAAGAGAAACCCAACTCTGTGTAGGAAAAATATTCTTAACCAAAAAAAGGATAGATAACTTTGAATACATAAGATTAAAAAGGGAATCAATTAAATGAGAAAAATCCTTTGTGTAAGCTGAGTTCTCAGGAGATTTGTAAGCTGTTGACCATATGGAAGAATGCTTCACATTAAGTAAAAATAGAAATGCAAATTAAAAAGATCATAATTCTTTTCCTGGCACATAGCAAATTGAAAAAAAAAGATGACAAAAGATTGGGAGGGGGAGAGGCACACTGGTACTTTGTTGGTAGAATTGTAAATCAGTACTACAATTTTGGAAAGCAATTTGGAATTGTGCAAATAAAGTGACTAAAATGTTCCGACCTTTTGATCCAGGGATTACACTACTACTGAATTTTTACAAACCCAAGGTGGTCATTGATGAGAAAGTCCAGTTTACAACAGAATTTTTATAGCAGCCTTTTTAGTGTGATAGCAAAAAATTAGAAGCAGAGTAGAGGCCCGTCGTTTGGAAAATGGCTAAACAAATTGTGGATCCCATAAGTGTAAAGGAATATTCCTGTGCTGTAAGAAGTGAATGCAGAAGAATATGGAAAATCTGCACGAAGTAACAGTGGAATAAACAGATCAATAAAACATGTATGCAATGATTATAACAATGTAAATGGGAAGAACAACCACAAAAAAAATTAGAAGTGAACGTTGAACATTACAGAGAACAAGCAGAACCCCAGAGAAGAGATATGAAAAGATATTCCCACACACACACTCTTTTTGCAGTGTGCACAATGTGGAACATTACATATAAATTGTCAGAATTTTTAAAAAAAAATTTTTTAAAGGCAGTTGGGGTAAAGTGACTTGCCCAGGGTCACACAGCTAGTAAGTGTTAGGTGTTTGGTCTGAGGCTGGATTTGAACTCAGGTCTTCCTGACTTCAGGGCCAATGCTCTATCTACTGCGCCACCTAGCTTTCCCCAGAATTTTTTTCCCCCAATATATTGATTAGTTTTGCTGATTTTTTTTTTTCTTTTTTTGTTATGTGAGACAATATATTCTCTTCCCTTTCGGACAGTGGAGAGTAATAGAGTGGGAAATTTAGGGGATAGAAAAAAAAGATATCAATAAAAATATTTTAAAAGAAAATGAACCGTCTATGTACAGAAATGTATATCTAAAAAATCCTGGTTGAAAGTTTCTAGCAAGGGGTAGTGAGGTGGCCCAGTGGATAGAGCACCGGCCTTGGAGTTGGAAGGACCTGAGTTCAAATCCGGCCTCAGACCAAACACTTGACACTTACTAGCTGTGTGACCCTGGGCAAGTCACTTAACCCCAATTGCCTAAAAATAAAAAAAATTTAAAATTAAAAAAAAAAGTTTCTAGTAGTCTTCAAATACTCGTTCTTAGACTTTGTTTCTTTTTTTTCTGAATATGTTAGTAGTGGTCTTGAAATTCCACAAATTAACCCTGATAGCAATTTTCTCTTAAGGAGTATGAGGCTTTTTTATTAATTTTGTAACCCCATAGATTTTTTCTTTTAATGTTTCAGTCCTGCCTCAATACTGTTGTTTTACTATCACAATATCTGCAGCTAAAACTCTATCAACTCTATCTTCTACTTTTCTCTTCCTCAGAATATTGATGAGTCCCATGGTAACTGATATATGAAAATGTCTGTCTTCATATTTATTTTTTGCATTTGCTAAGCTTATTTGTTATCAACTGAATCTGTTTTTCAGAAATGACCTTGCTTCTTTACTTTTGCTTTAATCCACTTTACTATAAACTAAGAGGAAATTTAATGTTAAAAGAAATAGCAATTGAAATTGAAACCAATTGAATATAACTTTGTCAGTGTACGTTGTCTTTGCTTTTATCACTCTATGTGTGGTGATTATTTTGGATCCTTTAATGCCACATTTCAGAGTTTCAATAACTAATATGTACAATATTGATAACATCTGGCATAAGGACAATCTGGAGGTCAGTTTGATCATTGTGAATATATTACTTGTGTTATTTTAAGCCCCTATCACTCAGATGACTTTTCAGTTCTAATCATCTTGACTAAGCACATTTAGTTCGTGTTATACTATATACAAGGTTAATAAAATAAGAAGTAATATCTTTTAGCTTTTTTAGGAATAAATACTTTCTCAGTAAATACAGATATACAGGCCTTGAAGTTATTTGCATCAGATATTTAATTCACGTACTAAAACAAGTAAAAGCTAAATCCCATTTAGAGTTAATTTCTGGGATGGGGAAAGGAATGGTACTTGTTTTTATAGAGGTAAGATTTTTGTGTTGATTTCAACATTGCCTATAGATAGATAACGTTTCTCCACCCTTATTGCCCCTTAATATCTTTATTCAGATAACAAATTTCTGGCAGCTGTGATAATAGATTATATCCAGTTAGGACTTTATGGTTACAAAACATTGTCCTGTTATCTTATTTGTCCTTCTTAACCGTATGATGTAAGCATGACAAGTGTTGTTCCATTTTGTAAATAAGACTGTTTTAGAGAAGCTAAATAGTTTCTCCTTTACCACATATATTAAATAGTGAACCCAAGTCTTCTCCAAATTTAGTAATTTTTCCACTGTATCAAGCTGCCATGTAAAACATCTTTTTATAAGGTAAGGAGAATATGTCATCTCACTTAAAACCGTATCCATTGGGAATTACTCAAATAAATAATTGTGGTGTCATTGGCTTTTTACTCATCTTAGCCCTGTTACAAAATTAAATAGAATCATTTTACCTTGAATCTGGAGTCTAACTAATAGTATATATTAAATCTCCCACTTCTTGAGTTTTGAGGCAAGGGAATATTTTGCAGCTTTTATAGGGAGGATGACTTGACAGAGTCCATTGGAGGGAGCTCTGTTTTGTTTTGTTTTTTAATTTTTGCCATCTTCCACTTCCGGGTACTTAACTTGTGATTCTTTGTAAACAGATATCTTACTGCTTCTCAAAGCAGATCACAAAGCTCTTTCTGAAACTTTACTGGGTTCAAAGCAGGTTCTCTTCAGCAGGGTGAGGAACAAGGGTGGGGAATGAAGAAGACCTCAGTTTTATAAATTAGCTTGAATTTTTAAAGGTCTTCCCTGGAAAAGGTGTTTGCATATGCTGTATACATGTTTCCCATTATTTTAATGAATCTTTATACTCTGGGATATTAATAAAATTATCCCTTTTGATTATAGATGGAATCTGCACGCAAAGCATGGGAAAACTCACCAAATGTGAGAGAAAAGGGGTCACCAGCAACTTCCACAGCAGCTTCTATTGCAAGTGGAGGTAGCAGCAGTGCCAGTGTACCGAGCACTGGTAATTACAGCTCCTTCTCAAGTGCATCGATGCCTCCTATTCCTGTCGCATCCGTCACTCCCACAACTTCATTATCAGGTAGCAGAGTCTGTGTTTGGTTTTCATCTAAATTTTTCCCCCTCATTTTTTGATCCTTTCCGTGGTAGGGATGGGGGTTTACTCCTGAAGACCTATAAAGATAGTGGTGGCATAGTAACTATGACAGTACACTCGAGATTTTTGTCTAGTCTTCTTTTGTGTGAGTTGTGGTGTGTGTGATTTTTGTGTAGTTTAATAAAATTTTATAAGTTAACATACTCCTGTGGTTAATTGTTTTTCTGTCAATGTCACCTTATCATAGACTGACTACAAATAAATGACAGCTCTGTAAGACTTGTTTTGGATCTACGTTGAGCATCTAACCTAAGCAACTATTTTTAGTTGGCCTCGGTGACTGACACTGGTAGACAAATGTCTTCTCCATGCAGTTTAATCATCAAGGATCACTTAAAATGACTAGAGTGCCTATATTAAACATGAAAATATTTTTACTGCATTTTGACAAGTTTCCATTTGAAGCATTGCAGTTTTTTTGTTTCGTTTTAAGTCAGAGGTAAAGGGATCTGATATAGCTATTGCCACCTGGCAAGTGACCATTTAAACTATGAGACACGTTTCTGTGCTCCCTCCTACTTATTGAATCTAAAATTAACTGTATTAATTTCCTGCCATATATATCCTTCACCTTTCAACCTGAAGTTTTATGATTCAGTTCATTCAACAGGCACTTATTCAGTAATGAATGATATTCATGAGGTAGTTGTCCCTGTACCAAAGTGTTAATTTCAATGAAAGAAATGAAAGTGGAAGCTCCTTTAGTAATCACCAATTCTTGAAGATTAATTGCTGTCCAGAAATTTTTTTCCTTGTGTTTTATTGAACCTTTCAGGTTCAGTCGAGAGTATTTCCATTTCCTGCTGTTGGTCCATGTAGAGAATTATGTGAAAAACTACTTAACCTTAGTTTGTTACTGGATGACTTTGTTTTGATGTTTTCTCCAAAGTTTGTATTTTGCTGAGAGTTGTCATTGTACAATGTATCCTTCATACTTGTTCTCCCTTTTCCCACTTCCTGCCCTAGGAGCTGGTACATATACTACCTCTTCTTTGAGTACTAAATCTACAACCACCTCAGATCCTCCCAACATCTGCAAAGTGAAGCCTCAACAGCTACAGACCAGCAGCCTGCCTTCTGCTAGTCATTTCTCTCAGCTGAGCTGCATGCCTTCCCTTATTGCCCAGCAGCAGCAGAGCCCCCAAGTCTATGTGTCACAATCTGCAGCAGGTAATGATATTTATAGGATTGAATTTTAATCAGTAAAGGTATCTCAGGTATTTACTTCCCTTCAAAAAAGGTTTATTCACTAGATGATGCAAGTTTTATTAAACATTAAATTCTAGCTTATGTTGAGCAATACATACATACATACATACATACATATATACTTTTTTCCCCCTATATTTTGTGTTTGCCAAGATATAAGTTTCTGGCAAATGACCTGTGGTGGTGGTGATTGTGATAAGCCATCCACTCACTTATTGTAGATAAAGCAAGGAATTCAAGACTCCTAACAATGGTACATGGTTACAGATGATTAATTTTTGGTGTTTAAGTTTTATAAGCCACATGGAAGATGGTCACATGTATCATTTCTTAGTACTTAAAAACAATTTTTCCAGAGATCTCTAATTATTAACTATATTATTGAGGATATCATACTATCTTAATCTTAGAGCTACTAAGTGTGTTTGTCTGTGTGTCTTCAATCCTGGTACATAGTAAGCATCTGAAAAATGTTTATTGATTGATTTTGTCCTAAAAGGAGTAATTGTAGATTCAGGCAGCTTTTTTTTTTTTTTTTTTTTTTTTAATTTGTCTTTTGCTTTTCATAACGAAAAATGAACTTGCAAATTTAGTTATTTCATATTTGGAAGTAACTCCCCAAAACCTAGTAATTCTGTCTATATTTTTTCCATCCCTAGCATCAAAAATAACGTTTTCATATAGCACTCACTTAATAAAAGCTTATTGGTTGTTTGATTGCTTTAAGGACTTGACATAGCTTTTTGAATATAAAATAGTATGGTTGTAATCAAATAAAAATTAGTCTGGGTGTCATGGAAACTGAAATCTTGTAGTCCTGGGTCTGTCATGGCTTTTGTGACCTTCAGCAGATTTACTTTTCTGTGTCTCAGTTCCCTCAACAATAAAATGAGACTGAGAGCCAGATAGTTTGTGAGGTCCTTTTTCAACCATGACATTTTATAAAAGTTATGAAACTATGTAGGAAAAAACCCCTTAGTAATTATCTTATACTTTTCCTGGGGACCTTCAGCACAGATCCCAGCTTTTTATATGGATACAAGTCACTTATTCAACACCCAGCATGCACGCTTGGCTCCAGCATCCTTGGCTCAGCAACAAGGATTTCAACCAGGACTTTCTCAGGTAATTTGGAATACATTTTGAGAGGCATGTACATTTGTTTTACTTTGCTACATTCTGTGCTTGGTAGCTAGGACTTAACTGTGTTTTTCTCATTGATTATAGTAGTCTTAGAATAAATATTTTACTTCATTGAACCTATGATATCACTGATATCAGGACTCAGATGGTATGAATCATCTATCCTCACCTTTTTCTGTGTGTTTCATACCTGTATCTTCAAATAAATCTACTATAGAGACCTTCCTTTAGGTATTTTTTTTTAAAGATTCTCTGAGTACCATTGTAGTCCTTGGGCTGGCTGCTTGTTAGCTTCTTAGTGTTTCTTGAAAATAAAAATGCATTGAGTCGATTATCAAGTGTTTAGTATGTCTTGCTTGTTCACCTCGAAGGGTTTGTGAAGATAATTTTGAACAGTTTTCTTTAGGATTGCATCTGTATTTATAAAATTTGGTTCCATTTTTAAATGGAGATTTGTAATCTTTTATAATTTGCTATTTGCCAGACATTTATTTTTTCATCTGTTGCTGATTTGCATTATTTTTTTTCTTCTTAGTTTTTTAACTAAGCTGATTTTTCACTTCATGAAAGATTTTACTTTTCTATTCATATTTCTGTGTTGTGTGTGTATGCACATGTGCATACTTGTGTTTCTGTTTTATCGCAGCCCACTTCAGTTCAACAGATTCCAATTCCTATCTATGCACCTCTGCAAGGACAACATCAAGCCCAGTTGAGTTTGGGGGCAGGACCTGCTGTTTCACAAGCTCAGGAATTATTTAATTCTCCCCTGCAGCCATATAGGTAAATGTGTTTAAAAATGACATTTAAAATGTTAAACATTATGATTCTCTGAACTTTCTGTCAACAACAAATAATACAACTAATAGACTTGATTAATTCACATTTCACGAGTGTTTTCAGGTTTGCACAATGTTGTCCTTAAAACAGCCATGTAAAGTAGGTAGTTAGATGGGGGAAATGAGCCTTATTTCTGATCCTGTGGTGTCAGTGCCAACATTTGAATCTAAACTTCATAACTCCCAAGTTTGTCCTTCTTTCTACTATGTCATGCCTCCTGTTCTTTCAGTTATTAATCTTATCACTTAATGGAGTACAGGCTTTGGTTTTCTAGAAGATTTATGCATATTGGACAATGCAGTTCTATGTGGAAGTAAAAAGGTTATACCATTATTATCAGGTAGATAAGTTTCAATGTAAATGCCAAAAATTGTAAAAAATTTGATAAGGATCCCAAAATTATAATCTTTTGGTTAAATATCTCCCATTAGTATTGTCATTAGTGATCATTTGCTTAAATTTCTCAGTCTGACATTTTAGGGTCATAGCTTAGGCAGTGTTCTCAGTGTAAATGTAATTTATGAATGTATTGGTTTGACTAACTTTTTATTAACTTAGTTCAATTCAGCTGTAATTTAAGCAATACCTACTATGCACAAGGTTCTATGCTCTGAACTTGGAGATACAAAAAAAAAAAAATAGTCCCTGCATGATGTAATGTACACCTAGATGAGTGAAGTGAGAAATTGGGGGTAAAGATACAGCACCTGAGTGTCAGAGGAAGATTAGGGAAGGCTTCATGAAGAAGTGGCAGAGTTTCTTCAAATAAAAAAGAAAAAACAATGAAAGTCCTTTTGTACTCTCTTCCTCACTGGGTTGTTACATAAGAAAATATATAAAAATTTGAGATATTAGAAGCAATATTAAACCCAGAACAATCATGACAATTTGCATTTACTATCTTGGGCTTGAATGTTATGGTTAAACCCTAAAATTGTGTCATAACTTTTTTCTTGCCTTTGAAGATCATTGTTATTCCCAGGATTATTTGGATTCCATTTTTATCTGGCATTTATTAGGCAGTTGGTTTTTTCATTCCTCTGTAGGTCATTGGTGTCTTTACAACCTCTATAGTTTTTGTTTAATTAAAAATGACCAGCATTTAAGTTAAAGAAAAAAATTACTTGATTTTTAGTTTTTGTGGGTTTTTTTTTTTTCTTGGTTTGTTTTTTGTTTAATCCCCATCGGTTCTACCTGTGTATGGGTGGGGTCCATTGCGATGTTTCCATTTAATCCCTGTTTTATATTTGGAGAACTAAAGCAAATGAAATATTTTAATTCTTTAACTATATTGTAGTTAAATTTGTTCTTTCAGTCCAATGTTGTCTTCCCTTTTTCTCATAACTAATTCCAGGAGGTAGATTGACTTGATAGCATTAAATTTAGATCTTTGTGTTTTGTTTCCTACTTACCTTAGACGTAATGTCTGTTCTTCTCCACTGTCCCTCCCATTTCCCTAATTTTTTATCATCGTGGCAATCGAGATAGTAATCCATGCAGGTAAAAAGAAGAAATAATGCTAATGCAAATATTTTCTCTCCAATACTGTTATAGGTCCCAGCAAGCCTTTATGCAGAGCAGTCTGTCCCAACCATCACCAGTCGTTCTTTCTGGCACAACCTTACACAATTTTCCAGCAGTACAACACCAGGAACTTGCCAAGGCGCAATCAGGCATTGCCTTTCAACAAACTTCTAATGCTCAACCTATTCCTATATTGTATGAGCATCAGCTAGGCCAAGCTTCAGGGTTAGGAGGTTCCCAGTTGATTGACACACATCTGCTTCAGGTAGGAGAGTGTGGTTAACATCATCTCTTGAACACTGAGTCAAATCAAGCTTTTATTAAGCATCTACTGTGTGTCAGGCACTTTTCTATGCATTGGAGGTACAAAGAAAAAGAGTAGCTTAAGGAGCTCACAATCTTAGTGGGGAAGCAACATCTCAACAACAATATACAAACAACATAGAAGATATCAGCATTAAAAATGAAATCTTGTAGAAGATGGGGTTTTAGCTGGGACTTGGGGGGAGGGGAAGGGCAGAAATCAGGAGAAAAAGAATTCCATACATAGCGCACAACTAAATGAAAATGTATTAAGAGTTGTAAAATGGACTGTCTTTTGAGAGGAACTTTAAGGCCAATGTCACTGGATAGTAGAGTATAAAAAAGGAAAAAGGTGTAAAAAGACTAGAAAGGTAAGAAGGGGCCAAGTTTCGAAGGACTTTGAAAGCCAGATTTTTAAGTCTTCTGATTTTATATTTGATCTGGGAGGTAATAGAGAACCACTGGAGTTGATTGAATAGTTGGGGATGGTGGCTTGGTCAGACCCACTTTTTGAGAGGATCTGGAATGAGAGGAGACGTGTGGTGATGAGATCAACCAGAAAGCCTATTGCAGTAGTGTAGATGTGAGGTGATAGAGGCCCGCACCAGACTGGTGACAGCATAAAGAATAGAGAAGGGAAGGTAGAATCTGCAGGACTTGGCAATAGATTGGGGGATGAGAAAGAGTTGTGGAGTCAAGGTTGATGCTTAGGTTGTGAGCCTGGGTGACTGGGAGGATAGTGATACCTTAGTTAGGGATAGGACCTTGCCAGGACACCTGTGATAGTGCATAATGCCTGTGTAGAAGAGAGTGTGAAATGGTCAGACAGGAAAGGAGCCAAGAAACAATTTTTATCACAAATACCTTAAGGAAAGAGAATATAATGTTGAAGAGGATGATCAGCAGTGTCAGAGACTACAGAGATGTCGAGAAGAACAAGGATTGAGAAAAAGGGCCATTAGATTTGGCAGTTAAAGGATCATCAGTAACTTTGGAGAGGGAAGTTTTCAGTTGAGTGATGAGGTTGGAAACCAGACTGCAGAGAGGTAATAGGAGCAGTGAAGGTATGAGGTATCAGGGTATGAGGGAAGAAAGGTATAACTAGTGGGGGTAAACAGATCAAATGAAGGGGTTTTGTCTTTTAAAGATAAGAAACATGTCTGTGCATGTAGGGAGGCAGTCAATAGACAGGGAAAGATTGAAGATAAGTGAAAAGAGCAGGGATGATAGAGTGGGAGGGCTCTGCTGGAAAAAGACAGGGTAGCATCACATCACTTGGGCATCTAGAAAGCTTTGCCCTTGGCAAGGAGAAGGACTCACCTACCTCTTCAGTGAGACAAAGTGAATGAGGTAGTCATGGGCAGTTATCTGTGACATGAGATGAGGTGGGAGAAGGAGGGTGCTCTCGGAAAACAGTCTTCTAATTTTTTTTTAATAAGTTACAGGGTTAAAAAGATTCTTTTAAGAGCATTTTTAATTTTAAATTATTCAAGGTTCAAATAATAGGGATTTATATCACCGTTTTACTGTTTTCTTCCCTAATTTGTTAAACTCTCCTTCTAGGCAAGAGCAAGTCTCACCCAGGCTTCTAATCTTTATTCTGGACAAGTACAACAGCCTGGTCAGAGCAGTTTCTATAATACTGCTCAGTCACCCAGTGCTCTCCAGCAGGTAAACTATGGCATGGTAAATTTCCTCAATCTTCTTTTTATTTATTTTTTTTCTTTTAATTTTATGTGTAAAAATAAGTTTAAAATACTAGTACATGGTGTAATATGGGTAGGGAGGTCATGGGCAGGTCACATCCCTTCTCAGTTTCAGGCAGCTCTCTACTATTCTGGCAGGGAAGATGCTGGCCTGCAGTAGCAGAGTTTTCTTATTGAGGACTTCCTATACTGACGGAATCATAATTCCAATCCCTATCCCTATTAACTAAACATAAAATCTATCACAGGGCCAGGGCAGGAGTGGAGAGCAGAAATAGGAGGATAATGTGATATATGTTACAACTGTGTCTGGTAGGTTTGATCAAATAAAAGATTAAGTGCATTAGCTGAGTGCTTAATGTTTTAAAATGGGAACAGAATGCCAAAAAATCAAACTTATGGAGAGGATAAGAGAGGCATACATTCTAGTGTACATTTTTCAAAGTGAGCATATTGAAATAAAAATATTTCTTAAAACTGTAATTCCCTGGCATTGCTTATTAGCTAGCTTCCTATTTAGAGGATGGCGCATCTTAGGTGGTACAATAGAGTAACAAGCCTGAGTTCAAATCTGACCTCAGACACTTACTAGCTGTGTGACCCTGAGCAGGTCACTTAATGCTGTTTGCCTCAGTTTCCTCATCTGTAAAATGAGCTGGTGAAGGAAATGGCAAACTACTTAGTATCTTTATCAAGAGAACCCCAGATGGAGTCACAAACAGTCAGATGTGACTGAACAGTAGCATTTAGGTGCTGTTGTTCATAAATACTCTACTTGTCCCTCACATCAAATTCCATTTAGAAACAAAGGGTTTTTATCCCTTGAAAATAAAATAGAGGATGTGCTTGACAATTGTCATTGTTCTTGATAATGTTTTATTCAGTTCTAATGATTTTAAAAAATTGAGATGAAATGCCTGTTCAGAAATCTTTGTATTGTAAATGCCAAACCTTGCAGTGAGAAGTTGCTGTTTATTTAGATCTGTTATTATGTTGTCTTATTTTGTTCCTGAAAATAATTTTCCTTTTGGTATTTGTCTTCATGATCATTGTGAATGACTCAACTCTGTGGCTTTTCCCTTCCTTCACATAAACTTGTAATCTCATGAACTTGCTGCCTTGCTTTTAGGTTCTTTAGATTATTCAGTAGAGATGGGGCAAGGGTGCCATTATGCAGTTCATTGCATTCATGGTCCCATGAAATTTCTTGCATTTGAGGAACTTGAAGCAATTTGCAGATACTACCAGCTGGCTGACACTTTATTACCAAATGCAGCCAGTTCATATCATTTCAGAAGTAACATAAGGAAATAAAGACCTGGGAAGCCTATGTGACCTGTTCATGGTCAACTCAGAAAGAATCTGTATTTCTCTGAGTCTAGTAACTGCGTTTATTGAAATCTAGTCACTAGTTATTGTTTGAATAGAAGTTATGTGGGTTAAGGGTGTAGGTAGGGAATGATATAAAACATGTAAGCATGTTGTTGAATTGTCTCTTTTCTATTTTCTCTCTCCTTCTCCAGGTAACTGTACCTCTGCCAGCTTCACAGCTTTCTTTGCCTAACTTTGGATCTACTGGACAACCTCTAATTGCATTACCACAGACATTGCAGCCCCCATTACAGCACACCCCACCACAGGCTCAGGCCCAAGGCCTGAGTAGACCCACACAAGTAAACCAGCCTTTCAGAGGATTAATTCCTGCGGGAACTCAGCATAGCATGATTGCAGCTACTGGAAAGGTTAGTGAATAGAACACATTCTACTGTTGATTCAGTAATTGAAGGGAGATAGACACCTGAAGGCTAAGATTATCTAGTTAGCTATGGTTACTATATTCTAAATCAATGTTCTGCAAAACAAATAGTGCACCCTTCTAATTATGTGAATCTACCTCTATACAAGTGATTCTTACTATCATTTTAAAAACTTTTTTGTTCAAAGAAACATAGGACACTTAGAAACTTGTCATCTAAAATTGCTTTTCATATATCCATTGTGCTGCCATCTTTCTCCATTACCATTTAATCAGGTTTTTATGTTATGATTAAATTTTCGGGGATGAGTACATGAATGAAGGCGACATTGGATTTGGACAGGCTTTGATACATTCTGTTATGTGAAACCACCTTATGATAGTTTTGTATGTCATCCCTCTCTTACTTTTAGATGGATTAACCTATCAGATAACGTTTCATAGAAGTGTAGAACTCTTAAGGAACCTTGGCTAAGTGGGAAGAAGGATTTTTTTTTTAATTTAGTTTTGGTTTTGTTTTGTTTTTTGTTTTTTTCTTGATTCAAGGGGCTATCAGTGTGACTTGCAAATTACTTCACCTCTCAGGCTGAGTTCTTGTAAAATGAGCAAGTTAGACTAAGTAGCCTCTAATATCCCTTCCAGCCCTCAGTCTCTTTTCCTGTAATAGGACTTTGAATAAACATCACATGTGGATCTTGGAATTCCTAGATGTTAAGATCAGTTCCATTCTTGTCTTATTATCCAGATGTCAGAAATGGATCTGAAAGCTTTTGGAAGTGGCATTGATGTAAAGCCAGGTACTCCTCCAATTGGAGGTAGAAGCACCACACCAACATCCAGTCCTTTCCGGTAAATGAGAATTTTAAACTTGCTTATGAAACGTAATAATTCCCTCCACCCCCCTCAGTGTTAATTGCTATCTAGTATTTTGTGTTCATCATTAAGTTGTAATACAATATATTACATTGTATGAGAGATATAAGTGGCTATAGGAAAATATTAGATATTATAACTTAATGTCTTTGACACTCTGTCCTACTTGAAAAAGATCTTGAAGTTAAAATTATTCCTGAATTCATTGAATTGACATTGATTCAAAAATCAGTGGAGAAGACTTGAGAAAAATAACCCTTTCCTCCCTTCATTGGAGAGGTTGGTGTTGTGGTGTAAAGTATTGCTTAAATGTAGACATAGTTGATGAATTGGTTGGTTTTTTTTAATTGAACTGCTTTTTCTCACCTCTTTGTTAGAAGGGATTGCTTAATGGTTGGTGCTAGGGAGGAGTATATTTGAAAAGAAATGCGATATAAAAACAAGACTCAAATAAAAATTCTATTAATTTTGTGTTGCTCAAGATTAAAGACCCAGTGAAAATAAACCTGATAAAAATTTGGCCACAAATTTTAAACCATTTACTTGCTTTTAAAGTCAGTTTAATAAGGACTAGGGATAGGGATGGAACCTATGATTTCATTGATATCTGGAGCTCCCTGTACCAATTCAGATGGGCACATACTGACTTAGAAAACTACATATTATAGGGGCAGCTAGGAGGCGCAGTGGATTGAGCTCTAGCCTTGGAGTCAGGAGGACCTTGAATTCAAATTCGGCCTCAGATACTTGACACTGACTAGCTGTGTGACCCTGGGCAAGTCACTTAACCCCGATTGCCTCACCAGAAAGCAAAAGAAAACTACATGTTATCATGACCTGTGTTTTATTATATTTTATTTTGTTAAATATTTCCCAATTACATTTTAATCTGGTTCAGACCACACTTGACTTGGATATCTCTGGTCTTGATTGTTGTCTTGGGCCATGGAGAAGTTAAATGACTTGCCCATAGGTGTCAGAGCCAGGACAGTCTTATCCCTGCCCCCAGAATACACTGTTCAATATGCTAAACTGCTCGGCCAGTTCACTTACATTAAAAAGTGATCTCATTTGAGGAAATAGTAGTGTTTGTGGGAATAAGACTGCCATGGGGGTGAGTCACATAATACTTGTGCGGTCCTGGGTTTGTTGTTTTAACTCTTCTGATCTTCAGTTGTATTGTTTCTAACATGGGAAAATAGTACATTGCCAGCCTTACAGGGCAGTTGTGAACCTAAAAAATGTTATATAAATGAGTTATTGATGTTGTAGGATTATCTGCCATGGGCAGGTACTGACTAACTACTGGTGGCTTCTTCCCAAGGGCCAGTTCCACAAGTCCCAACAGCCAGTCCAGCAAAATGAACAGCATTGTCTACCAGAAGCAGTTCCAGTCTGCAGCTGCAACTGTGAGAATGACACAACCATTCCCTGCACAGTTTGCACCCCAGGTGGGCAGACACAGACAAGAGTGTTTCCTTCCACATTCTGGGACTTGTTAATCCTGCCTTGTGTTAACAGATTGAGAAGCCCAAGGCTTCCTTCTCTTACCAGTGACATTTTATGTTAATGCCAGTTTAGATCTTATTGTTGGCAGTTGTATATTCCTAAAAGGAAGGGTTTAAAGCATCTGGGAGAGCCAAGTCCTGGAAGATTCCCCACACAGCTCTGACAGTACATTTCAGTCCTATCTGTTGCCTTGGGAAAAGATGAGTCTAAAAAGAAGGGTCCCAGTGCTTGGGGGTTTTTAAGATTCACAGGTTTCTACCTGAAGATATGTCTTCTCATATATACAATTTGGTTGTCCTGTGGTAAAAACTGTCTTGACAGGGCAAACCAAAGTTAAATTCTCCCCAAGTAGATTTGACTTCTGAGAGAGGATGCATGGTCCCTAGAGGTGAGAAGCACTTCTCTTGTTTTCATATTGCATTGTGTCTAGGTGTGTGCTGCACGTCTCTCTTTCCTAAAGATGTCCTCATTTATAATAGCATCACTATTTTTTCCCCTCTTCAGAATTTGCAGCTGAGATGATAGAGCCAAGTGATGCACCATAGTGTGGCCTTGGCTCAAGTTTTCTGGGCTAGACTCTTCAGGCATTGGTGTGTTTCATCTTGGCCCCTGTTAATGGAACCCTGCAGCCCACACATTTCCTTTCAGTGGCACGGTGGGCATTAACTAGACTTACTCTGGGAAAAGCCAACTTGTGTTAGTTGGCAATTTTTTTTAACAGTTCAATGTGTTATGTTTTGTTTTTTTCACTCAGATCCTCTCTCAGCCTAACCTGGTCCCTCCATTGGTAAGAGCCCCACATACTAACACCTTCCCAGCGCCTGTTCAGAGGCCACCAATGGCACTGGCCAGTCAGATGCCTCCTCCGATGACCACAGGCCTCATGAGCCACCCTCGTTTGCCACATGTGGCCAGGGGTCCTTGTGGATCACTATCTGGAGTCAGAGGTAATCAGGCCCAGGCTGCGTTGAAGGCTGAACAAGACATGAAGGTTAGTACAGTGTTAACAGCTGATAGGGCAAGATTGTGTCTCTTGAACCATGTCTTAAGATGCCTCGGGACCCTTAACACAAATCCAGGCATTTGTTGTAATTTACCCAAAACTAGCTGCTTTTTTTTTCCCTTTTTTTTTTCTTCCATTGCAATTGCAATTGGTAACAAACCAGCATTTTTTACACCTGTGGCCAAGTAAATTGCTAATGAAATAAATTGAGGGAGATCTGAGTTTAGCCTTGAGGTGCAGCTTTTGAAGGAAGAACAGAAAACTTTGGGGGTTACTAAAAAAAAATACCCCCTCCTCCCCTTTGAATTAATGATATTACTGATGGCCTGTCAGAATTCCATTTGGTTACAATAGTCTTCCTGATTAACTTTCTCCCCTCCCTTCAGAGGGGACAACTTTTCTGCTACCTTTTCTGTGTTAAAACTATTCCTATGCATTCCTCTATACCTATTCTTTCTCTCTCTCTCTCACACACACACAAAGTCCTGTCATAGGGTCAAGTTACTTTTAGGAAAGAGAGCTTGGAAAGCACTTTGGGATCCTTCCAGATGAAATCCATTATAAAAAAAAAGAAGAAGATTTCTTAACAGAACAATTGCCTAGGAGTCTGTGTGGGGACAATTTAAAGTTGTAAACATTATGTTACTGGTCTGCTACCTCGACAGGCAACAGAATCCTATTATCTCCTGTGTCCTTAGACTTGGCTTTAGGGATCTAAGAAATCCTACCATTTCTCCACCTGGGAGGTCTGGCAGGAGAGGTACTAACTTTTTTTTTTTTTTAAAGGAAGTAAGATCATCTGTTTTGATGTTTTCCTTTGATGAAGATATGTTATGTTGAGTCTCACTTCCTAGGAATTGTCTTAAATGTTGAGTTCTGTGAGTTTAAGATTTTTTAAAGGTTTGTCATTTGTTGTATTTCTAAAAAAGAGTAAATTAAAAGCCCCCTAAAAAGCAAAAACAGTTCTAACTTGAGTTACGTACTTTTTTTGTAATGCTAACTTCCTGTAAACAATAATAAAATGGATAAGAATTCCCAAAATTTGAGGATAGGTATTAAAAAGCCATTCTTGTGATTTGTTTTCTGCTGCTAGCTGCTCAATTCACCTTGATTACTTCCCTTTAAAGAACATTAGAATAAATGTGTACAATCTCTTTTTGTTAGTATGGGGCTTTTCTGCAAATTGTTTTCAGGAACTTGGATGGTAGGTGTTTTTTTAACTTATGGTATAGTAGTTTATATATATATATATATATATATATATATACACACACACACACACACACACACACACACACACACACACACACACACCAACCTGGGTGGATTGTATGTGATACATAGATATCATTTGTGGATTAACGTAAGTATGTTCTTTGGGCTACAATGCCAATGAGATTAAATTACCTGTTCTCTCAGCCCAGTAATGGGTAGGGGTTAGCAGAATTTAGTGTTTAAAATACCAATTTCTGAATGTTTTTCCTTTTTATAAGAGAATGGTGGGAAAAGGACTCAGCACCAAGACATTGGATTTTCGGTTTTGGGAGAGCAGCAATATCAGTGCTTCCTTGTAGTATGGTCTCTGGATGGCTAGACATTTTGAATTTTCATATGTGCCTTCAAGTTTCCAATCCAGTTCTTCTAGGGATAAGAAAATCCCTGCAAGGTGTTAACTTGACACTAGATCTGGGTGATGGTATATCTGGTCATTGATCTTTGTGTGTCTTATTGACAGCTTTTACAGCGTTGCTGCCTTTTCAGCCTAGTTGTTTCTCCTTTTTTAAGGCAAAGCAGAGAGCAGAGGTTCTTCAGTCCACGCAACGGTTCTTCTCCGAACAACAGCAGAGCAAACAGATAGGAGGCAAGGCACAGAAAGTGGACAGTGATTCAAACAAAACTCCTGAAACTCTGACTGACCCCTCTGGAGTTTGTCAGGACAGAGTAGAGGACAAGCCTCCCCCTACACCCACCACAGCAGCCAAACCTGTTAGAACCGGACCAATCAAACCCCAGGCGATCAAAACAGAAGAAACCAAATCCTAAAGGCTGTGGTTTATAGTTGGGGGTGGGAAGGGGGTGGGTTTGGGGGGACTGAGGGGATTGGAGAACCAGTTCAGCCAATGCCGGCAGGATTCCATAGCAGCTGGGGGAAGGGAGGGTGAAGTGGTCGTTGTGTCATTGTCCTGTCGGGCTCAGGAGGACACACAGGGACATATGCTATTGACAGTGTCGCACAGACAGCTGCAGTACCAGGGAAAGCTTGAAGCTCTGTAGACCAGCAGCTGCTCTTTATAACCCAGCCAGAAGTCAGTCTGCACTGATGGCGGTGCATTTTTATAGTCAGGGTGGAGATGCCCATGTATGAGCAAACACAGACCTACACCTAATGCAGAATCTTGACGGTTACCTGCCATAGCAGAAGCATGAAGACAAGATAGCACAGCAGAATCAGAATGTAGCTTGAGCAGCATGTTCCCAGCTACTGAGCAGAGATGGTTTCTTATTGCTCCTTTATGTTCCTTGGCTGCTGTTTCCGTTTTTATAGGCTCCGTGCATAAGAGCTGCAGATGGATGGTGCTGGACAGAGTAGCCTTATTTTTTATTATGACAGCTTGCTGTTGTTTTATAACATGGAAGCTGAGTTAAATGAACACAATCAAAGGACAGTAACTGATCATCTCCCCTCCCTTGACCTGTAAACAGATGGATGGATAGTCATGTCAGCATCCTTTGAATTTTTTTTTTTATCCAAATGGCCAGTGTTTGGCTACTGCTTCTGTTTGAAATGATGCTGTATTTAAATTGTGGCCTAAAGCGTGAAGTGCTACTTGGCATCCTCTTCCTTCCTGAAAGCATCCACTCCCTTGACATGGCAGACTTGTTGCATTAATAAGTCAAACAAGTCCTTCTTGCCTCTGCTCAGCCATCTTTGTATGAAGCCAGTGGTTTTCTAAACGGTTTTCAGCTGATATTCATGTAGAGCAACAAGCACTTAGACCTGTGGGGCTAGTCAATGGAAATCCTATCTAAGGAGGTACATTTCTGTATCAGAGCTGTGTCACACTACCCTTCCTGCCTATTCTGTGCTGGAAAATTAGAATCAAGTCAAATAATGCCTTTTTAATTGTATCCTCTAGTATTATAGCTGTAGGACAGTACTGTATTATACTTCTGTGAATGTAAAATATCCTGTACCTGCTTATGATACGTAGTAGTGACCGTGCTATACCAGAGCTGTTTTTAATGACGTTATTCTAGATAGACTTTTGTTTTTCCAGATGATGATTGAGAAGCTAATAAAAGGCGCCAGGTACCACATCAGTAACAGAATGCTGTTTTTCTGGGATTTTTAAAAAAAAAAAAACCAACAAAACTTCTTTGTCCGGGGAGGGGGATGTTTTCAGGGGTTTTTGTTTTGTTTTTGTTTTGGAAACAGTGAGCTGAAAGTCTAATGTGTATAATTTTGTTCAGTGACTGCAGAACCTGGAAAGGCTGTTGCTGCTATTGATGCCTAGCAAATTGCTATTGGTTATCTTTTTATATAAATATATATATATATAATTTGAATTTTTGGAAACTTTAGCTGTGATGTCAACTTTGGAAAAAGTATCCCACTTGTACTGTGTTGAGTTGGCATTGTACAGAAATTAACAGCCATATTGGTCTAGAAACGTTAAACTTAATTTTTTTTCCATTTGTACAGGGGTAACACACTGTATTAAATATGTAAGGTCTTATTTACATGGGTTTGATTACAGAAACTAATAAAATATTCTCTAAATAATGTATCCTGTAGCTTCCTTGATTCTTTCCTGTCAGGTACAGCAAATGGCGTGTCAGATAAGAACAGTGACAACCCAAGATGTCAACCAGCAGAAGAGAATAATCAGAAGGGGAAGGAAGGGCCACCACTCATTGTGTTCTACAGAGTCACCACATTTACATGGAGCCCTGCCATGTGAGGAATGAGTAGAGATCCATGCAGACCTTGTATAGCAGTAACTGACTCCACAAAACATAATCTGAAAGAAGATTTAGGGGCGATGAACAGGTAGCCAGGTTTGCTCTCCCAGGATTGCCCTAGTGTAGTTGCCAGTTGGAGTATTGTGGTCAAGTTTGCTTATGATGTTATAAAACGATAGTTTGTTGGATTAATATACTGACAGTACTAAGGTCCCTGTTCTTAGTGTAATTGTGCTTCACCTAAGACAATATGTTTGACTCTTCAGTCAAGCATATTTGGGGGAGAGACACCTTGCCTTTTAAACAGCAATTGGGAACATAAAAGCCTGAATTCCTTGGGGTTTTATGGAGTTTTATACTTTTAAAAGGGACTCACAAATTTTTTTGATTGGATCCTGAAAGCTTCTCTGGATACTTATTTTGAACCGAAAAGGGAGAGAGGAAAAAAACATACATACATTCATTCATTCATACATTCAGTGATTTGCATGCGGTCATACCAGTCACGGGGCTGAGCGAGGACTTGAACTCCTAACTTCTAGCCCTTGGGTAGTTGGGGATTTAGTAGTTGTCAAGATCGCATTTACTGAGTACCTACTCTGTGTGCCAGGCACTGTGCTAAATGCTTTACAAATCTCGTGTGGTCCTCACACCGCTGTGGGGTAGGAGCTTTTTTTATCCCCATCTTACAGTTAAGGAAAATGAGGCAGACAGGTTGTGGCTTGCCAGGCTCATATAGAGTAGTGATTGTCTAAGACAGGAGTTAAACTCGGGTCTTCTTGATGTGAGGCCAAACAGTACACACTGCACCATCCAGCTGCCTCTAACTTGCCCTCTTAGGCCCGTGGTAATGATTTGCAGGTCAGGAAAGGGGGGGGGGGTGTTTAACCCCCTGCCACTCACTTGAACAGTGTTATCTTGTGTTAATCCTTCAAAGGAGAAGGGGCCCCACATGAACCCATGAGATAAACCCTACCCTATTCAGTTCTGTAGCCTTGTCCTGTTATCTTTGTTGATATGTATGTGTGAACTATTCCATGTGAGACTGGTGTTGGGGCAGATTAGTCTAATCTTGGTGACAGATTTGTAATCTAAATTGATGATGGGCTTGCATGTTTCCCAACTGGCCAGCAGAGGTTACTCATGTGCTGTACCAGTTGATAGAATCAACTACAACTTGAAGCAAAGTGTTTTATATTTTTCAAGTATACATTTCATTTTGAGGAGGTGTCGCATAGTGGATAGGAAGCCGGCCTTGGCACTACCAAGACCTGGGTTCAGATTGTGTTTTGGACATATACTAGTTCTGTGACCCTGAGCAAGTGACAATTTTTCAGTGTCCTGTTATACCTGTAGGTGGGATGCTTTTATAGGGATTTCCCACATTGTAAGTTTGTCATAACCAATAAAATCACAGATTTGGACAAAAAAAATAGAATTCCCTATGTTCTTATACTTCAATATCTTGTAGAGGTGACTTTTGAGTTATTGAAGACTGTGCCCAGGAATGGGTTCTGGTAGATCATAAAGCTCTGTGATGAACATTTGTCTGCCGGGAACCAATCTAGATACATCAGAAAGGCTTGTCATGCTCTTGGTGGACCAAGGCAGCCATCAAAGCCCACACACAGATTCTTAGAGGAATAAAAGATGTGATGGAAGCACCCACACCATTTCCCAAGTATATCCTGTGTCATTTTAGCCATAAAATCACCTGGGAACAAGGAAGCGAGTGTTAGTCCCTGTTGTGTGAGTGAGTGGAAAACTGGGGGGAATTACAGTCTAAGTGACTTGCCATGTTGCTCAATGAAAGGACCAGGAGTAAAACCAAGACTCAACACCTAATCCGGGGCCATTTCCATTATATGTCATGCCTGTTGTGCCACCTTTTCATTGAGTTCAAAAGCCGGTACATTCAGTTCCCCCACCACCAAATAGAAGTTTCTGTAGTTAAGTTAGGGGTTGGAGGGGAAGATCTCAAGGTGTTTAGGAGAGACTGCCTGATGCAGCAGATGCAGCACTAGACTTATCTGATGTAGGCCTTGGCTTCAAGCATTGGCTCTGCTTCATCCTAGCCATGAGAACCTGGACAAGTTGCCACTCTACCATAACTTAGTTTCTTCATCTGTAAAATTAGGATAATAATAGCATTTGGGAGGGAAGTGCTTTCTGAACTAGGAGGAGTTACTGAATTGTTATTATATTATGTCATTGGTACCCCGTAAAACCAAAAGAAAAGAATAATCAAGTGTGTATTGCCCTCTGTATTACTGTGCTAGATGCTGCCAATAGACAAAAATTAAAAGTCTCTGCCCTCAAGGAGTTTGCCTTCTTTTGGATGAGAAAATGTACATAAACAATTGGAGACAGCATTTTTAAAATACTAGTTGCTTTTGGGGGTGGGAGGAAATAAGGAAATGTTTAATATGAATATGTTTGTTGTTCAGTCGTGTCTAATTCTTCATGATTTAATTTGGGGTTTTCTTGGCAAAGACCCTGGAATTTGCCATTTCCTTCTCCAGCCCATTTTACAGATGAGGAAATGGAGGCAAACATGGTTAAATGACATGCCACAGTTAAGTGTCTTGAGACCAGATTTGAGTTCAGGAAGATGAGTCTTCCTTATTCCAGGCCTGAACTTATCCACTGTACCACCCACCTGCCACCTATACCTATACCTATACATACACATACACATACACACATGTATACATATATACATATATATACATACACATACACACATGTATACATACATACATATATATAGATAGATAGATATAGATATATATTGTTCAAACAGCCATGTCTGATTCTTTGTGACCCAGTGGACCATACTGTCCATGGGATTTTCTTGGTAAAGATACTGGAATGGTTTGCCATTTCCTTTTCCAGAGGATTAAGGCAGAGATTAAGCGACTTGCCCAAGGTCACCCAGCTAGTATATAAGTCCATATTTGAACTCAGCTCTCACTGACTCCAGGCCCAGCACCATCTACTGGCCATCCAGCTGCCTCCTTGGCTTAACAGTATTTTGAAGGAAATGGGATTCTAAAGAAATGAAAGTGATGCCATTGCTGGCAAGGGAGACAAGCCAGGGCAAAGGCAGAGATGGGGAATATGGAGTGTTGTGTGTGAAACCAAAACTAGTCTGGCTGGACCATGGAGTGTGGGAACAGCAATGACAGCCAGAATCTCTATATCTCTTAGATCCCTTGTCCAGTGTTCATCTCTATATATTGTTTTTGTTTTTGTTTTTGCCCTAGGAGGCCAGTAGCTCCCTCAGAAAGGTCCGTAAGCTCTTGAATTCCTACTTAGGACAGCATGCTGAGTTACCCCCATGTATAAAAAAAGGAAGTCAAGCCTAACCATGTGCCATAAGTCATAAAACAATGTGGCAACATAAAGGCAGAATTTGACAAATGGCTATTTCATATCCCACGAAAGGAGAGAGTACTTTTCAGTTACAGGCATTACAAATATCAAAGTACTTCTGTGCTAAGAGGTGCTTTATTTGGCTATAAAGTTGTGCTGCTGAGGCTGTCAAGCTGCCTAATGCCTTTAAACTGAATTCCATGTTCTCCATTGACTGCCATTATGGAGCTAAAAAGACAGAAGTTGGGGGAGAAAGAAAACCTACAATTTTTAAATCTAACACTGGAAGGGACGTAATCTAATCCACCACCCTCCCCAAATTAATGAATGGGGAAACAGGCCCAGAGAAGTGAGTGGCTTGCTCAAAATTACATGGGTAGGAGAATCCAGATTTGAACTCGGGTCTCATTCCAATTCCAAGGCTGTCTTCACTACACCATGCTGGGATTTTCTGTATGAGGGTTTAATAAACCTGTTCAGATTCTTCTGCTGCAGTCAAATGTTAAACACATTGTAGATTTTTGACAAATACTTAGGAAATTAAAATAATGTGGACTTAACAGTAAATTGAACCACATAAAACATCGGAATTATTTCTTAAAAATAAGATGACTAATGTACAAATAAAAACTTCACTGAGCTTGCCCTTGGCTCCAACAGGTGCTTGAGAAATAAAATAATTTTCTATCACCCCAAATCATAGAGGGTAGATAATAAATTAGGATTTGGAGGCAGGTAGACCTTCATTCAAACTTAACCTCAGACACAATTGGCAATGTCACCTTGGGCAAGTCACTTAACCTCTGCCTCACTTTACACAACTGTAAGATAGGGATAATAATAGCACCTATTTCCCAGGGCTGTTGTGAGGACCAAATGAAATAGTATTTGTGAAGTGCTTACTTAGCACAGTGCCTGGCACATACTAGGTGTTTTAGAAATGCTAACTATTGTCATTATTGTTACTTGAGAAGTTCGAGGGTCTTACCAAGGAGAAAGTAACTTTAGAAGATTTCCAGGAGCTTCAGGTATGAACCTTGCAGAAGGAGGCCCAAGACCCAGCACTTCACTAACGCTACTCTCCAGATGTTCCCTCTGACCTTTCTGACTTAAATGTATGGGATAAATTAGAGGGAAGGCACCCGCATTAATGGGGGATTGGGAAAGGCTTTTTATAGAAAGTAGGAGTTTAGCTGGAAGGCAGGGAAGCTAGGAGGCATACATGAGGGAGACAGTTCAAAGCACCCAGTGAAAATACATGGATTGGAGAGATGGAGTGTCTTGTACAAGGAATAGCAAAGAAGCCAGTGTTGCTGAATGGCAGAGTATGTGGAAGAGGGGAAAGTGTTAAGACTAGAGAGATAGGAAGGGGCGAGGTTATGGTAGACTTTGAAAGACGAACAAAGGATTTCTGTTTGATCCTGGAGGTCATGGGGAGCCAGTAGAGT